TCGTCGTTATTCGATTGGAAAATACTTTTTCTATCTTCCAGTTTGAAAATAAGTTTCCCACAGATCAAAAAATCGAATTCCATTGTATTCGGTTTGTTTGTTTGTGCCGGAGCTTAATTCATTTTTTTTTCTTCCCTCTCCAATTCCCGGCAACTTTTTTATTATTAACTGATGATCTTCGGGATGTGGAAGACGAAAATAAGAAAAAAAAACATATGATACAATTATTACTGCTACACACAGAAATCGACTTTTGGTACAACTTTTTTCCAATTCCTCCAATGTATTGCACAACAACAACAACAACAAAAAATGAACCGCCGATATCAATTTAATGAACTTTTTAATTTTTTTTATCGAAAAAAAGTCAAAAACTTTTTTTCCGCCAGCACTCATGTCATTGAATTTTTCTTGATTTTTATCTGACGATCAAATTGATTAAAAATTAATTCATTTTAACTGATGTTTTCTGTCGCTCTTGTGCAAAACAAATTGGTCAATGAAACGAATAATAAAAAAATCGAATCAAATGGAATGATAAAATGACAATTTCAATTTCAATTGACCATTTTTTTGGTAACATATCAATCGATGGATCGAATGAAATGTAAAATCGATTTTATTTCTTTATTCATGTGTCGATAAACCACCTTAGTATTAAATTATTTACAAATGTTTATTCTCGTATATTGAAAACAAGAACGAAACAGAAAACATTGGAAACAATTTCTGGAAACTTTTCTGAAAAAACGGATTTCTTGAATAAAAAACGAATCGCCTGATTATTTTATTAATGCACTATTATTAGCCAATAACAATCACCGAATATTCTGTATACAGAATATGTTCAATATTGTTGTTGTTGTTGTTTTCGGCCAGAGTTTCTCGTTTTAAATATTCTGTTCACACACATATTTTGCCTGCAAATTTAGTTTGAATTTTTTTTTCATTCTGATTATTCAATGGATATGAATGAATTATTTCGTCATCATCATCAATGTTGTAATCATGGTAATTGTATAATCATTTTTTTCGCGTTGACCCAGCAACACATACACAGCAACACATACACAGCACGCACACACACACACACAGACACGTTCGGTAATTTCACATCCAATTTTCCATTAATCTAATTGTATTTCAATTCACTTGAAGAGAATGGCTATTTATATTTCAACTGAAAGGGAATAAAAAAAGGGCCCAACATTATTAACATGGTCATGATGATGTGTCCATCGATCGTCGAATGAAAACAACAAAAAGTGACAAATCTCTAATGTATGCATAACTTCAACTGCTCATTGTAACCGAAATCGTTTCCGTTTGAAAATAAATTCTACAGAAAATGAAATGAAATTTCAACCTAAATGTGTGCGTGTAAGTGTGTGTGAGGGGCAAACATAATTTTAAAGCAATTTCTTCTTTCTCAAAAACAACAAAAAATAATGGCTTACACATTGACTTGAATGCAATTTATTTATTTATTTATTTATTTTTTCACTCGAAAAAATTTCTTTCTTTTTCAAATGTCATTTTTCTCAATTATATAATATGTGGATACACACCAAATGGTCTGTGTGTCGTAGCATCTGTTATGTGTGTGGGTCATGATTTTTTTTCGCTGTAAATAATGTGTACGCGGAACAATGAACAAAAAACAATAGAAAAAAACGATTTCTGTAAAACGATTTTTGATCTTTTTTTTAAAAAAAAACTTGATGATCAAGAGAATGAAAATTATTTGTCAAATGTCTCAAGGGAGAGAACGAGATAAAACCAAGAATTTATTGTAAATTGTAAATAATTAAAACGTGGATCTTTTAGAACAGAAAACTTTTTGGAAAAACAGGCTTTCACACTATCATCGTGATTATGATGATTATTATTAAAAGTCATTACATTTTACATTTTTCTCTCTCCATCATCGTTGTTTTCAGCCAAAAAAAAAGTGTTTTAGTCGAAGGAGTGAATGAATAAAATTATTTCATTCAATAAAAAGAAAGCATGGAATTTTTCTTTTTGCACCATTATTATACTGTTGAGTGTTTTCCGTGGTAGTATGTCATTCATGATTGTCGTCAGCATTTTTTTTCGACGATGATATATAACGATATAACACAAAAATAATGATAATGATGAAGACGATGGTGACAAACATGATGATGATGATCATTTTTTCATATATTCAAATTCCACAGTTTCTGACAAACCAGCCATCTTTTCTTCATCTTTATTTTTATGGTAGGAATTTTCTCAATTCTTTTCGAATAATAATAATAATTCCTATCAAAAAGAAAAAATTGGGGCAAATAAAGACGAAAAATTTGCATACAATTTTTCTGCTGTTTCGTTCGCGTTGGACGATGAGTGGGAAATGCTTTTTTTCATCGAGAAAACTCAAATGATAACGACAACAAACAAGGCTGCAAGAGAATACAATGGTTTTGTGTTTTGCTTTGTATTCTCTGGCAGCTTTGTTGTTCTGGAACCTGGTCCATCGTTATTCTTTTTTATTCAATTTAACATCATGATCAATAAATGCAGTGATGAATTCACAAAAATGGACAAGGCTGTCTCTCATTCATTTTCTCACTCAAATTATTGAATATTTTTATAAAATGGTGATATTTACAAAGTGTAAAATGTAAGAAAAAAATAATGAACCTACCTTATTCACGACCAAACATGTTCTTCGGCATTACGTTCCATGTCCAATTCTTTGTGATTATCGAATAATAACCATGACATTCGAGTTCAATCATATTGCACAATTTTGTCACAAAAAAGTCACAAAACAATTACAAATCACAAACACAGAAAAAATCATATCATTAGATTTGTTTTGTTGAATCATTAAACCGTCGTTACAATTGTTGTATGTATCATGGTAATAATAGAATAGTGATGATAATGGAGATGAGCAATAGAAGCAGAACAATATTTATCATATGAATATCAATGTGCATCAAGTGGCATGACAAAATTTACATCGACATTTGAATCACAAGGTCATAAATTGAGATCAAATTCATCAATATCATCGATCATCGTCATCATTTGTTTTCATTTCATACATTGCATTGGTTAGACTGCTTAATTGTAGTGAATGTAATAAAGCACACATCTTCCGACCAATTTTGATTATTATTGCTTTATATTTGTTCGAAATTTAATGAAAAAAAAGAAAAATCATAAATTAATGCAATCGAATCAATCACTAACTTATTTTATCATCATTTTACGAGGCAATAACGAGTTCACAATAAAGAACAATGGAAAGTGGCGCGAAAAAAATTTGACATACAAATGAGTGAATAAAATAAATTGAACAACTTGTAGTACTCAATGTTCAACGTGTTTATACTATGCATACTGAAGAAATTGTTGAGCCAAAACATTTGCCAATTTTATACACGACAATCCAAAAAAAACCTAGATTCCATAAAACTTTAAATTCAAACGGTTCCAAATTTTTAAGGAAAGAATAAATTGTCGAACTATACTTGGGTGTGTGTGTGTATAAACATATATCTCGATGGAATGAAGAATGGTGAACAAACACTTGAAGTTTGTTATTTTTTGTTTGAAAGTATCGTTTTTCCTTTCTTGGAATTTTTTATTTTATTTTTTGCTTCCTTTTTCCTTGAAAGAGTTTACTTGAAATTCTAGACGAGAATATTTCAAACGAAAAAATGGATTTGTTTGTCTGTTTTCAAAAAAGGCGAGAAAATTTCTTTTTAAAATAAAATCAACATTTTTTATTGGCATCTTTTTTTGCAAAAAAAAATTTAATCGATCAAACATTTTGTACATTTTTCAATGATAAATTAATGATGATGAAATGTATTCAATCATTGGCTAATACAAATTGGCCAACAACACATACATGTTTCATTTACAAATATACAATTCAAATCAAAGAGAATTTTGTTTGTTCGATTCAAATGCACAGAGAAAATCCAGATAGATGAATTGATTGAAATGTACAGAATTCATGATGTTGGGGATTGATAAATAAATAAATAAATGAATCAATTTTTTCTGTTTTTTTTTGTTTGCCAAATCAAATCAAATCAAAATTTTTTTCCTGATGATGTATGTGTGGAATTTGAATTTATGATTTACATATTTTGTTCGTTCAACATCTTCTTCTTTATTTACATTTTTTTGTTTGAAAATAAATTCATGTGACAATGTCATCATCATTGGATCGCAGTGTAAGTAATGTAAATGCATCACGATCGGGCAATTTTGATTTGATTTTTTCGTTTCTTCGAGAAAATACTGTGTATCATCATTTCAATTGAATTGTAGCAGGAATAGTTGCATGATGCTGTTGACAAGAGCCAAGACAAAAGCTTCGCAAGTTTTTTTCACATTCTTTTCAATGACAAATTCAAGATGCTGAAGCTTATCCGTTTCAAATTCGGACAGAAAAATCAAATTTCGGGCTCACTTTCTATGTTATTGGATGGAATCCCAATGGAGAATCACCCCAATCGATGTAAAGGATGTTTTGTTCAAAGAAAACAAAAATCAAAATTGGTAAAAGTCAATTCGATTTTTGGTTTTCAATATCGTGTAAGCTTCGTTTATAATATGATGATCCACTTTTTTTGCATAAATATGATTAAAATTGCTAGTCATGTTTGAAATGCAATTGAATTGATTTCTTTTTCTTGCACCCGACATTCGATTTAGATGATTAGCCCACAAAAATCTAGGCCAAAACAATAATCATGATAATCAAACGTTATCATCACGTTATACACATTGGACGATTACCGATCGATGAAGATGATGATGGTTGGTTATTATGAAACGAAAGATTCATATAATGGCCATTTCTGATCATTTGTCACGTACGAAACAATATTGTTTTTCTTTTTTCGAAGCCGATTGATTGAGAGAATCATTTAAACGAAACCACAAGTCGACCGAATGAATGAATTAAATCACTGACGATGATGATGATGATGATGATTGGATTTGGATTTGTTTTTTTCATTTTATCTATCTATGTATAAATTGATCAGAAAAATAGAAAAAGAAAGAAAGAAAATTATCAAAATGGCTGAATAATGATAATTATCATTATTATTCCCAAATGACATCTTTCGGGAACTAACCTGGAATGGAAATAATCATCAAATCTTTGTCAAGAATTTCAGAATAATGATGATGGTTGATATCGAAATGACCCAATGATTGACAGTGGTAGTAGTAGTTGAAGAACAAATGGGTGAATTATGTTCATAATCATCACAATTGATTTGTTGATTTTGTTGTTGTGTATTCCATTCCATTGAACGTGCATCGCGAATTTTGTCATATGTTTCTTGGTCACATTTACGTTGCATTACGGTAAATATACAACGTTGTAATGACCAATGACCACAACAATATTGACGACGATAAACACGTGATTCTTTGCGATAACCTTTAATTATAGCTTGTGTTAACGATTGATGGTATGATTGATTACACCAGGATATTTCATTATGTATTGCCATTATACAATCAACAGCACCATGAACTTTTGATGACGATGATGTTGATTGTGTTATTTGATTATGATTCATTGGAGGCTGATGTAATGATGATATCGATGAATTTGAAGTCTGATAATAACGTGATGATATCGTACGGGTTGGATACGCAGCTGTTCGTGATGATAATCCGCGTAAACGATGTGATTTCGATGAAGATGAAGATGATGATGATGATGCTGATGATGATGACGATGATGAATAAGGCAACGATGAGCAATATGGTGATATTATCAACAAAAACAATAACGACGATAATATTGCCATGTTGGACAATGACTGTTTTATTAGTCGTAATCTTACCATTCTCGTTTTTTTTTTTCAAAAATGCAAATTTTTCGGTAATTTCACATGATTTTGGTGATTGGGTTTCTTTCTTGTTTCAGAATACAACTTTCATGCGATAGAATATGGCCATTTTTATCAATAACTATGGTAAATGATTAAAACACTCTTCTTCGAGGAAACCAAATATTATGACACACGTAACGGTGATTCCAATTTTCGTTGATTTGCTCGGTTTGCCCGGTTGTTTCAAATAGGCTAGGGAAAAACGAAAAAAAAAAGAAATTTGAATTTATGGTAAAAAGGCAGATTTCTAAATGTGATGTGTCGAGCACAGAGAATTTTGAGCTATAGAAAATGTTTTTTTTCAATCTTTTCTCTTTTGTTAGCATCATTTTCGGTTAATAATTTATACAAACAAAACAAAAACAACAACAGTAATGCCCGAACAAACGGTTATGGCGTTTGGAATAATAATAATAACCGAATATATAGAGAGTGTTATAAATTAACGAAAAAAATGTGCATTCAGGGAATCCGATCCGACTTCTATATGTCTGGAATATTATTTTATTGGATCCATTTTTAGCAAACAAAAAAACATCGATCTGGATCGAAGCGGAATTGTATCAATCTAAAAGTGGCAAAAGAAAAAAGTGAATTTTGTTTACTTTTCTCAATATGAAAAAAAAAAAAAAAAAATGTTTTAATTAGTTTTTCATCATCATCATAATGGTCATCATCATCAAGAAGTCGGGCAAATTCTTCATCAGACAAAAAAGAGGAACCAGAAAAAAATGAAAATCTAAAAAAAAAAAAATTTTTGTTGTTGTACCAAAGAAAAGTATTGTTCATTTGTTTGTCATTTGTATGTCGTTTATACAACAGCAGCAGCAGCAGCAGTAGCAGCACTTTTGATGATGATGAGATGCATTAAAAAACTTTTTTCTTTTCCATTTCACCCGTGTTTGAAAAAATACACTTTATTTTTCAAAGCTTACACAACCAACAACATAATTGTAACCGTTTACATAGCCATTGCACTTCATTCATCGACATGGCATGTATAGATGGAAATTATTTCGACACAAAAAAGAACAATGAACAAACATCATGATCACTATCACCATCATTATAGTGATGATGATGCCTTAATTCAATTATTACATACTTGTTCAATGAAAAACAACAACAAATCTTATTCTTCAACACAATGAATCTCATGGTGGTTATTTTTTTCAGGACACAGAAAAAAATGATGATTCCTTCTGTCGTTTTTGTTGTTCTTGTTGTTGTCGTTTTTTGTTGTTTTTGAAGAAATTAAATTTTCAACAGCAGAATGTTTGTCTCTCTTCAAATGATGATGGCGATAGCGAAACATAACCAAATACTTCTTTCTGGATCTGTTTGATCCCGCGCACAACAATGAAGATAACAAAAAGTTTTTCTCTTCGTCGTCATTGAAATGTTTTTTTTTGTTTTCTTACAACATGTGACAAAGTTTCTGAATCTAGAGAAAATTGTTGAGAAAATGTTTTAATAGCCTTAGAGCTAAGACTAAGGAAATAGAAAATAAGAATCCAGAATGAAACAGAAAGACAGAAATTTCAAGTCGCACTTTTTTTCAGACAAAAAAAGTTTAGATGGATAGAGATTTGAGTGTTTTAACTTTAAAATCCACTGCTGAGGCTGCTGCTATGTGTTTAATTAAAATTAATTCATATTATCGAATGATTCTCGTCAAAAACAAAACAGAACGGCTAAGTCTATTCGATTCTATGTCTGATGTATATCACACTCGTAATTCGTTGGTAACAATAACACTAAGTGATAAGAATTTCGAATTCTTTTTTATCAGCAAGAAGTTTCACTGAGCAAAAAAAAAGAGATTAAAGCGAAAGAATTATAAATAATTCATATTTCGATGCGAAAGAATCGACAGATTCATCTTGCTTTTATGAGGAAAATGTTTCCGAACAATAAACGAAACTTTTCCTGGTGAAACCAAAAAATTACAGAAAGTTTTTCCAAGATAAAAAAAGCTGCTGATATTCTCAATTTGTGTAATTTATTGCTTGTGGATCACACATATGGCTGGCTGTGAAAAAATGAAAAATATATTCTCACCACGAATCGATTAGAGACATTCATTCGACCAAGAAAATAGCTTGAAGCAAAACACACACATACACTGGATAAGAGGAAAAACTTGGTGAAAACAAATAATCAATTACGACAACGAAAGAAACTCGACAAAACAAAGGAATTAAACAAAAATGAATGAGAAATTGAAATGCAATACTTTCTGTCAAATCGTTTCCTTCGTCTTGTGTGTGTGTGTGTGTTACAGAATTTGGTCAACTGTGACGATTGTGTGGTCAATGTTTCGTTGTTTTTTGCTTTCGATTTGCCACATAAATGGATTCAACAAACAATTTGGAAATGTCAAATTGAAATTGACCACCACTAGTGAAAAACAAGCGAAACGTTTTTTTTTTTTTTTTTGGAAAACACACAGTCCTTGGGGACAATCATTGATTTGTTTGAAATTTGTTTCTTATTCGATTTTAGCAATCTAGAATCTCGATCACTGGTAATTCAATTCGATTAAAAATTTATGATGATGACGACGATTAGAAAACATTGTAATAGGAAATTACCGAGGAAAAATTCTCTGCTTTTTTTTGTTACGAATAATTTTTCATAAGATGTTTGCCGCTCTATGGTGTGATGATCATTGCTGCAACAAATGCATCGAATCGATCGATTGATTTAGTTTTTAATTGAAAATGATGGTTCAGTTTCGTCTTTTTCAAGTTTTGCCGCTTGTGAATCACTTGAATAAATAGCTATAAATCTTGCGAGAAAACAGTAAACAAAAAACGAAACGAATAGAAAAATATTATTATGTTCAACAAACAAAACAAAACAAAAACGGGCGATGATCATTTGTGCAAACACACAAACACCAAAACGTGCACACGAATGTGTTTGAAATGTATCCAGGAAAAAACAAAATCAAAATCGAGAGATTAGTCACATAAACACATTATCATCATCATCATCATCATCATTCACTAAAATAAACTCACAATGGATTTGTCATTTGGCTTTTTGTTTTGTTCTGGTTTTACACAGTGTAACAAAATAGATAATCATCAGTATTGTAATTTGTCTGATTCATTTGGCTGAGAAATGTTTCGCATTTCATTTTTTTTAATTAAAAACGTGAACATTGAAAAACAAATGAACTGTTGGCACGATGATTGAATCCTTTTGAATGGAAATGGTCGAGATTTTCCTTCAAAACTTAAAAATCAACAAGCTAATCAAAATGTTTGTCACTGTGTGAATGCGTGTGTCCGAATCAAATGGTCGACACTATACTAACTAGACTGGTTGATTTTTTTCCCGTTTTAATATTGGAATATATTCAGCAGAGATATATACCATCTTTCGAAAAAAAAACAGGAACAGAATCGAACAGACGTCATTCAAACAAACAAACAAAAAAATTCGAGTTTGCTCCATTCACCGATGCGCTTGTGTTATGATTCTCAGAATGGTCCGAATTTTTTCTGTTATTTAAAGTTCCGTATAGTTGATTACTATCGTCATCGTCGTTGTTGTTTGGTATGAAAAATAAAGAATAATTCAAAAATGTTTTTCTCTCCTTGCTGAATTAGATTATGAATTAACGCCAGGATTTATTGCCAGTTAATACTGCCAAATCAATCCAATAAACGCCATACAATCATTCAATGATGGAGAGGAAAGAATTAAAACCAACACTTTTTCGTGGTTAATCGACCAATTAACAAGAAAAACGAAATGAAACAAAATGAAACGAAATTCTCATTTCGAACATGGATGTTTTTCGCGGTTAGCGGTTAATCTCTTAACGAAATTTTTTTCTTGGTAGTTTCGCAGGAAAGCCCCAAGTCTTCCCGCTAGCTAGGCATATATGTTATTACATCCCACAACATTATCGTGTGTAATAACTTAAACAAAGCAGAAAGAAAAAAAAATCTAATTAAATTTAATTGAGCTCATCATCAGGATACTATCATCGTCATAGTCACTTTGTATACTAGCCAGTCAACTATAATCGGTTGTAGCATGTAATGGAATGTAGTAAAATAATGTCAGACGGGCTTAAACAACAAAAAAAAAGAAAAAACAAAATTGAAACTAAAAAAAATTGGGAGCCTCGTTTCTTTTGGGTTAATTCTTTTTATCTTTTTCCGGAGAGAAAAAGAAAAATAGAGGATACAGAGGTGATTATAAATACCCTATATTTTCTATTCAATCATCACATATATTCGATGAATTGGCGTAATTTAATTCATTTAACAACATGGCTATCGATGATAATCCCCATTTGAGATTAAAGAAAAAGACATCATTATAAACAACAGCAATGATGGTGTGAAATTATTCATCTTTTTTTGTCTGAAAATTTGAAAATTGTGTCGCCAACACACACACACACAGAATTGTTACAATGAAGAAATTATGAATCTCGCCAAAGAGAATTATGATTATGAATGAATTCGAGCAGTTTATTTTTTTTTTTTGTTTCGTAAATAACATATTTCACTCTACTCGATAATGCAAACATTCTCTCTTTCTGGCTGTCAAGATTCTTGGTTCTTTTTTCAAAGCAACAGTTGACATGAATCTCTGGCATTTGAATCTTAAGAACCACTTTGCACACACAAATCATCATCGAAGGATGATCATGTTGATCATTGTAAAAAACAAAAATTGAAATCCGATTTCGTGATGTCTAAACAACATCGCTTGATGATGATCTACTGTCTCGGATTTCGTCATCATCATCATCATCTTTTTTTTTCTCAAGCAAATCATCTCGTTTTCATGAATATAAATTCAAGAAAATGTTTTCTGGTGGCTTTACTGATGTTTGTTTGTAATGGAATTCAATCAACGAAAAATGTTATCACCACCAGGAAATGTTATTCAATGATTAAAACGATATTTTCTTTCGTGAAATTGATCGACAGATTTCGATTCTCGTTGAATCTGAAGATGATGATGTGATGCCAGACCTCTTGTGTGTTTTCTGTTTGTTTGTTTGTTTGTTTATACCATGTAAATCATAACGAAAAAACTTTTTGCGAAAAACAAATTCATCGAATCGATTGATTGATACATAGACACGACGGAGCACTCGACGTTCATTGACAGGATAAAAAACAAACAATTTTCAATATTTTGGCCAATGTGGACCGATTGAAAAAATTCAAGATTGTGTTCGCCACCAGCAGCAATAGTAATAACTAAATAGATTGATTGATGAAAAATATAAACAATCGAAACGAGAGTTGGTTATAGCTGGCTCTAAAAAATAAAAATAAAATTGGTTTCTTCGAAAATAACCTTGATGACGGGGAAACTTTCTTTCGGTTGGTTCCTGTTCCATCAAGAATGGTTTTTCTTGTTTTCTTCTTTCGAAATGGTTATATTCGATAACAATCATAAAATCATGATGATGGAAAAATGATTTTGTTTCGTTCTGAATTTTGCATCAATAAGCAAAAAAACCTTTTGAATATAATGGATTTCTTTTTATTCCCAATCCACATGATCATCATGATCACCGTCAAAACCAGATTTTACAGTTGGGACTATTTTGGGACCACAAACAAATCCTTCAGCAACAATAAAATCGATTCACATACACCACACACACACAATGACCATAATAAATCTGTTTGATTGATTTAAGCGGATAGATTTGATCAATATGAAAATTCAAAATTTTTACTGGCGCCAGTAATGCCACCTATTGACTGATAATAGAACAATTTGGAACCATTTTTTCGTCTCATTCAAGTTTCAAATGACCATGAGAGATTTTCATCATCACCACTACCCCCTCATCAATCAAAAAACCTGGGCAAAACTATTTCCGGCCATCTAAAATTTCGATGATCATTTACAACCAACGCAAATAATCATCATTATTATTTTCATGGTTATCAACCCTCGGATTCGATTATTCGATTGTAATGTGAGAAAAACCTACGCTGAACGTAAAAAACGTACATTTTCTATATTTGGACGATAGAAATAATTCGAAAAGCTCGAAACTAATCGATAATTGTCATTCATAAAATGGATGGGTTACACACTCAACAATATTTCGACGACTACCAGAAATAAAAACATCAGCTGAGTTTTATTATTGCTATTTCTTCCTATCTACACCAAAATCAAGATCCTCATCATTATTATACAGACATGCACACACACACACACGCAAACATTTTTTGACTGAATGACAATGAATGAAAAATCAGTGAAACGTAGCGCGATGTAATCAACTCTAACCGTTCATCACCATTGTGGATGATAATCATCGCTGAAAATTTATTCAAATTAGAATTACAATTGTGTTACATACAGGTGAAAACAATGAAAAAAAAGAAGAAATGGGAGAGAATTTACTTACTTTGTCCATTTGTCTTCATGAGAAGAAAACGAAGCTTTTTTCGAAACATTGTCGAAACCAAGACACGATAGAATCAAAATTCATCCATAGATCGAAATAGATGGCGTAACATTTTTATGTTCAAAAAAGCGTTGGCGACTTTCAATTCCAAAATGGAATCGCGTTCAATTTTTCTGATTTTGCATTTAAAAAATACGATCGGCCTTCGTAAATGGTGAACATACGGATGGAGGATTGGCGCGATAAAATTCCAAAAAAACTGATCAACACATCGGACAGACATTCGAATTAATTCTTCTTTTCTGGATAAACTAATTTTCGATTTGTATGTGGGCAACAATTTTGGTCAGACAGCAAAAACGCAACATTTGTCGTCGTCAACAGTAATATATCATTATTAATGACAAAAAAATTGATGAATTTTAAATTTATAAAGGTGGAGACACAAATGCCGAAAAAAGGTAAATATTGCAACAGAAAGAGACAAACGCCTGAACACGCATGTCAGCTTCAAATAACGAAATGAAAAAAAGAGTTTCGAACATTTCATTTTCATTATTTTCATTATTAGTTTGCTGATGATGATTGTCGAGGGCAAACAGCGGCAGCATCAATCTGCTTGGTACATTTGTTCATCACTGTTTTTATTGCATCGATGAGATTGAAATTCGTAAATTTTCAATGATTACTTTATTCTGTTAATTTCAATTTCAATTAAAAAAAAATTGAAACTGACACATTCGATTATCATCGTCATCATTATTTGTCGAATCAAATTAATTATCATCGTTTGAATCAACCATTATCAATCGATTCATCATCGATCGATAAACCATCATCATCATCATCAAACAGACAAAATCTACAAAGGCAGATGTTTACATTCAACTAGTTGTTGTGTATTTGTGTGTCTGTGTTAACCCATAATTCTTGATTAAAATTTCAATTTCGAAAAGAGATAAAACACTATTTTCATCATCTGTTCATTGTTCAATTAAATGTCCGCCAGTCAATCAAAGTGTGATAGTTGGACCTTAGAAAACAACAACAATTGGCTTTGAATCATGTGCACCTGCTACTATTGCTGCTGATACATCTTTTGTTCCCTTTTTGTCTGTACGTGGAGAACACATTGACTTTTGTGTTTGAATCATTTATCTCTTATATCATCTGGTGGCCAGGTCAACAAAGATTTTTCAATCAAAATTTTTCTTCATAATTTGCACACATACATCACACAATGGCTGAACGTGAATCACATGATCGTTCCTATTCATCATCAGTTGATACATCATCATTGGGTTCAAATCGAAATAAAGTTGTGACGAAAAAAACAACTACCGTCGTTCCTGTAAGTTTGAAAAATGATTCAACTAGTTTCGAGATTCAAATCAATAATTTTTTTGATTTTTTGATGAAAATTTTTCGGTAAAAATCCACAGTGCTGTGTGATATTTACCATACTTGGCATAACTCATAAACACATACACACACACACACACAACAAGAGAAAGACATTGCTCAATCCTATTTACTTTTCCTTTCTCTTTCTCGTTCATCAATTCAATTTTGTGTCCAAACAACATTGTTTGTTGATGAAGATGCAATAATGTCCATTTATGGCTTGATGAACAAAAAAAAAACTTGAAATTCAATTGCAACATCCACATCCAACACACAATTGCGTGTGTGTTTGTGGATGTGGTGAAGACAATGATGTTTTTTTTGAAAATTATAGTGATATAGTAATTTATTTCAATTAGCCCAACTCATACGCACACACACACACATTTTAATTTTAAATTTTTTTTTTTTTTGTTTTTTCAATCGAAAAGTATGACATAAATTCCGGTGTAGTACCACCACCCGGTACCCAGGAAGAATGGACAACAACCAAACGACGAATAAATCATAAAACAAAACAAGTGGAAACACGTGTACAACGACAGATCATAATGGAAGATGGCAAAGTGATTGCCGATAGTGGACCACAAGTAACAACCAAAACAACTGAAGATCAAAAATCTGATGAACAAGAAGATACTAAACATCGTATGCTTGGTGATTCAGATGTGCCGGAAAAATATCGAAAAGATATTGGTAATCAAGTGATAGCCGAGAAAACTGTCACTCATAATGTAACAAAAGAAGCAAAAGAAGAAAATTATCAATATCACGATGAAAGTCTTCGGGAATTAGATGGCCCGGATATTCATCGACGTGCGGTTGAAGATCCAAATAAATTGATTTCAATTGAGAATGAAATTCCTGCCATACCACGTGGAAAACTTGTACATTTCTCGGCAAAAGGACGAAAAACAAATGATCGTGATGAAATCCTTGAAGTATCAAGACTTGGTAAAGATGGATTGCTCAATACGGAAACAACACAAACACAATATCATGAAGAATATGAAGATGATGAATTACCGGAACAACAAGCAGAACGTATGATTGAAAGTGATAATCATACCACCCATCAACGACAACTTGAATACAATCATCATGGCCATCACAATGATGATCATCGATCGATACGCACAAATAGTTCATTGAGCATGTCAAAAGATCGTAAATCTTCATCGAAAAAGTAATGTTTTCTTTCATTTGCTAATAACAAATTTATTGGTAAAATTTTCTTTTTCAAATAGAAACAAAAACCACCACCATCATCATCATACAGGTGATGATGATATAATTGAAACATCTGAAGTATATCGATTGTCGGATAAAATGCGTTCATTAAAAAGTTCTGGAAGCAATAAAAAATCAGGGAGGCCTCATTACACGACAATAACAAAAACAACTAGAAAAGATGATGCATCTACACAGGCATCAATGTCAGATTGTGATTGTGATCATCATGGATCAACATCATTACGATCATCATTCAATGTGGATGATAATGATTGTTTTATTGATAATAAACCCAAATATTATTATCAAGGTGATGTCGATGATAAAGGATTTATACAGGCACGGGTGAAAACATCAAAATTCGCCACAGAAAATGATCGCGTTGTTGAGGATAAAACATTCGAAGAAGATTTTGAACGGTCTTTCCGTAATGATGCAGAAAAATTTGACGTAAAACGTGATTTTGATCGATTCCGTGAAAAAACGGCTGAACATACAAAGGTAAGTGTTCTGTTCAACGTTTAATCGCTCGTTTCTTAATGATAAAAAATTTGCAGAGTATTCGAGATCGAGCTGTATCGCCAATGCTGCCACCATCTGGTCCACCATCCACCGAATTTATTCATAGACCAATAATGGAATCAAGTCCACCAAGCCAACCGACGGTGGGACGTTCACGATCATTTTATAATCATCAGATTGAACAATTGGATAAATCATCATCCACACATCGAACTTATGATCATCAACCATCCGCTTTTGATGATCGTTATTCAAGTTTACCCAAAGATTCTTATGGCAGCACTTATCGAGTTTCAAGTCCAATAGGTGATAACTGGAACAGCAGCAGACAACATCATTCGACTAGAGACCATCATCATCGTTATGATAGTCGCCGCACCACTACAACTGAAGGACGATCACCATCGTATGGTCATCATCAATCACGAGCAGCTGATTTTCCAGATTTTGCTCCGTTATCCAGTCCGTATGAGATTAAATCGCTTACAGCAGGTCGATGAAAAAAAATTGTCATAATAACAACAACATAACGATAAAAGATGGCCCTACATATAGTTATGGGCAAATTAACAATTGAAAGTTGGCAAAATGAAATGAATGAATTTGAATTGATTGGTTATCCCTATCCCTATTTTAATAATTTTTATATTTATATAACACACACACACACAATGGATTGTAACTTGATTTGCATACGGAACAAAAGAATTAACTTTTCACTCAGTGGTCTTTTCATTGACCACAATGAAATGAGTGTGATTGAATTGAGACTAACTTTTTGTACACGACAATTAAAATTTTATTATTTTGCAAATAAATTATTGATGATTGATTGTTGATACATGCATAGATTTAAACACAAATGGAAATAATCAAACAAATGAATCAAGTGAATGGTGTTTTAAGGCGATGGAAATCTTGTGCCAATTCGTTAAGTTGTTCCTGTTGTGGATGATGATGATGATGATGATGATCATTATTCAAATCAACAGATACGGTTGCTGCAGATGCTGCTGAATGCATCACCTTAAGTCTTTTAAATGCTTTTTCCCAATCTGGTGATGATAATGGCATTGATTGATCTTTATTAGTATTATTTTGATGATGATTCAATGATAATGGTGGTGAATATGGTTTCGATGGTGATGTAGAATACATTCGTTTTTTCATCAATGATGTACGCATTGGTGATGGTGATGATTGTACCGTTTGACAAATATTGGCCATTGATGATGATGGGGATGACGATGAAAATGATGAATTACAACGACTATAATATGATGATGAACTGCTACCACCAGCGTTACCACCACTGCCCATTATCATCATTATTCCCATATCGCTCAACATTGATATGTTATTCGATTGTTGATTTTGATTATTCGACTGATGATTGATAGATGAATGATTGTTTTTTACCGTTCCAGCCATCGATGTAGTCGATGTAAATGTTGTCATCGAACGTTCTAAAATGATTCAAAATAAGAAAGAGATTCAAATGAAAAAATTAATCTTACGATTGATTTGTGTTTCCGATGGCATATAAATGGCTTGTGAACTATGACGACCACCAGGTGTGCTATTTTGATTGTTTATTGACATTGGGATAGCCACCGATGTTGATGATGATTCCAGTGTTCGATCAGTGTTCATCATCATCATTGATGTTGTTTGTGGTTGACAATCTGAATATCGATCTCGAACATCCATAGGATCATCATCTGAACTATCGGTTGTTGTTTCATTCATTGAGGATTCATAATTTAATGATTTATTCATTACAAACAAATCTTCACTGCTAGCTGACAATGATCGCTGTATCGAAGCGAGTAGAACTTCTTTCCTTAGATCACTATTACTACGCTTAGTAAATGTTTGATTCAATTTAACATCCGGTTCAATGAATCCTTCTTCAGTCGATTTTAATTTTGTCGAAAATGGCCCATTTGAAATGCATGATGATGATGCAGATGACGAACCATTAGCACTCAGAAGCATCAATTTCTTTTTCGTAATTAAAGCTAAATCACAATTACTACTTGTAGGAATATTTTCTCGTAATGTTCCTAATGTATTTGGCTGTTGTTGTTGTTGTCCTGTTGCCACGAATGAATGCATTGAATATCGTCGATGTCTTATCGGTAACGATGATATGTGATTAGTAAGAAGCGATGTTGATGAATCAATGGCTAATGGTGAAATGGGTGATTTTTTCGTGGTTAAATTTGTCAAAGATTTCGAAGAATCTTTTGGTTGATTGGATGTTTCAAATTCGAAAAACATGATTGAAGTGTGCGTATTGAATAATGAATACTATTATCACAATTGAAAATATTGACTTATTTTATTTTTTTAAAACATTATTCCCTCTAATATTAACGAATTGCTAACTCGAAACAATGATCAACATTTTTATTATATTGAAATTAAATCGATTGTGATGATTTTTCATGAATGACAGAAGCTGCGCAGCTGGTTTTTTTTGTGTTTACACAGACAATTTTTTTCATGATGAGCGATTTGATTTGGGGTAGCTCATATATGACATGTCATTTAAATTTTCAAAATTTCAATTTTTTTTCTTTTTTCTGTATTTACAAATGAATCATTTAAATCAATTTTCTCAAATCAACAATTGCCATGATTTTATGCATGTGTGTGTGTGTGTAATTATTAATTTTGGTTAATGTGATATGAACAAAATTTGCCAAATTTGTTGTTTCACATGGGAATTTATTTTGAAATTATGTACGCTGCTGTCGGAGTAATTTTCGAATGTTTGATCGGAATTTCCGATAAAATTTGCGGGATAATCTATTAATTACCACCGAGAACATGACCACGTCCACCCCAATTATGGCCAGATGATGATGTAGATGAATCATTTGAAGCCGTATTGCGTTGGCTACGAATCGAAGATGCGGTCGGAAACGAAAGAAAACCAGTGGATCGTAATGGTGTGTAATTGGGTAGAAATCGATAAAGAATAGCCGGTGTTGTTATCAATTCACCACCTTGATCTCTTGGATAGACGTATTTAACGTAATAATATAGATGACCGGTTAGGATGCCCAAAATTTCAAAGAAACCTCTAAAATTGAAATTTTTTTTGAAAAATTATCACGTTTTTCATCAAAACACACTTACCCTCCACCAAGAATCATATTGAATCCAAGCAAAACCCAAGGCAAAAATTGTGCCTTGAATCTGGTGCCAAACCAGAACGAGACAATCATTTCTTTATTCAGCTGACACCAAACATACAGGACACTCAATATTAATGGATCCATTAATAGAAAGATATTCATGAATACGGCCATCAACTATGTTTGGTGTGAAATTGGAAATTTCTTCAAATATACAAATAAAAATCTGCAAAAAAACTTACAACCAAAGCTGACCAATTAAATATGAGCATAAAAAGATAATCGGCTGGTTTGCCCACAAATTCATTTGTTTCAAGATTTTTCGAATATTGATAAAGAAAATATAGATTGATTAGATAATGAAATCCAGTACCAGGACCAATTGGGTAGTAAAATGTTCCGGTAAATGGCCGCCATAACTATATTTAAAAAAGATACATGAAATGAGATTTGAATAAAATGTGACATGATCATCACATACCTCTAAACGCCATAAAGCATCTTTAGTCATGAACATGTGGTATGGATTTAAAAGGCCAATTCGACCTAAAACAGGCATTGCAATCGAAAGGCCAAACCAATATCTTGTGATGATAGGAATCGACATGAACCATTGTTTAATTTCGGCCATGATTTCTGGATGAAATTTTATTTATTCCAACAAAAACAAAACGATTATGATGTGTATAAACTGATGAAAAATAGGACTGTTTAACTGTTGGAAAGAAAATCTTGTAAAATAAATAAAATTTATGTTTAATCACGTAACACAATATTTACCAAAAACGAAACACCACATAGACAAACAACAAATGCACAGAACCAAGATAGGATTCTCTATTTTATAAGATTTCTATAATCTATAAAGTTTTTTAAAAAAAAAAAATCTTTCACCACCGATGCAATGCAACATCATCATTCATTTGCTACAATCATCATGAATGATAAAGCCAATATATAATCAAAAGTTTGTTATGAGTCGAATCACATGATTCACACACACCGTTCATGAATGACATGTCAATATGATTTTATTTTAAATTTTAAATCCTTTTATTATTATTATTATTTAAATTTTCACTGTTTCAATTTTGAAAATTAAAGCAAAGAAAAGATAATGGCAAAGCTGAACTAGGAAATTTTGGAATTTTGAATTAGTGTCTTATCGGTGTGGAATTGAATTTTTTTTCGTGTGATACAAGTGATAACAAATGTGTAAGAATGTTGTGTGTAATTCTGACCGTTTCAACTGTGAATGGTTGTGTGCGGAATTGTTTTGAAAAGAAGTAATTATCAAGATTGGTCAGTTGGAAAAACTGGTTTCACTGTTTTTAAAGCTGACCACAATTAGCAATGGTCACTTTCTTGGATGGTTTACCCGATTGTGAGCCATAGCTTTCCACCTTTTTTACAATGTCCATTCCTTCGACAACCGAACCAAAAACAACGTGTTTGCCATCCAACCAGGTAGTCTTTACGGTTGTAATGAAAAACTGTGAACCATTGGTGTTTGGACCTGAATCAGAGGAGTGGTTCAATTAGTTTAGTAAAATGTGATAAAAAGCAATTCAAACATTCATGACATACCGGCATTTGCCATGGACATGATACCAGGTCCGGTGTGTTGAAGTGTGAAATTTTCATCGGCAAATTTGTTACCATAGATGGATTTACCACCAGTACCATTATGGTTAGTGAAATCACCGCCTTGGATCATAAAATTGGGTATGATACGATGAAATGAGGATGATTTAAAACCAAATCCTTTTTCACCAGTGCAAAGTGCACGGAAATTTTCCGCTGTTTTGGGCACAACATCACTACGGAGCTAATAATAAATAATAAAATGAAATGAAAATAAAATCAAAAAGTTGAAATTTTTACTAAAAATAAATTTTTTTTTCATTTCAAATGAAAAACACCCATTGGCTAGAAGCGCCATCTATCGACAACCAATGCCTGTCAATCAATCGATATGACAGAAAAGAGAAAAAAACTGGCTACAACGTTGCTGAAGCCAAAGAGAACAAGACAGCGTGAACACGACATGGCATCATCATTTAATGGTTGAGATTTAGAAAATCTCAAATCGCACACCTCGCCGGTTATGCTGCTTATCACGTCATGACAAGCAAGCAACCGATGATATATAGAGCTATAATTTCTTCGTTTTCGAGAAACAATCTCCGAGAAAAAAATAAGCTTGGTGAATAATAATCAAAATAATTCGAAAGAATTAGGAATGCAACTTTTTACATTAAAAAATAGGTTAACATGGATTGGGGATAGGTTAATATATGGAATTCAAGTCAATTTATGAAAACAAAAAATCTAAATAAATGACAAAAAGTGAAACATACCTCAATGACAATACGACCCAATGGTTGATTATCGGCAGCAATATCGAAAAAAACACGAGGAAGTGCCATTTTAGATTGTGATTGATTAGCGTTATTAGTCGTTGAAGAAAACTGTCGAACGAAACAATGTCCAATTAATGAATTGAATTTCGAATGATTAACGATTGAATCGGGCAATCTGGTTGTCGTTATAAAAGAAAATGTCGATCCTTTTCGTTGTTGCAATAACGATTCAGACGATAGTAATGGCGATCGAGAATAAAAGCAACGTCTTATAACTGCAGCAGAAGAGCCACCACTAACTAGTAATGGCTGACGTAGTGGTACATTTTGATGAAACGAAATGTTCCGATGATGATTGTGAAATGATCGAATTTGATTATGGTATCTAGCAGTATTAGCCGTAGTGGCCATTGTAGCACTTATTATATCGTTATGTATACATTTACGATTCGACATTAATGAACGACGACCGGCTAATGCAGCTGCCATCTATCGATATCGGATCAAAAATATTGAAAAAATATAATTATCAATCATTGATCATTGATTTTCGAATCAAACACAAATAAATGAATTCAGAATAAAAGATAACAAAAATTATTGTTGCGGTTATAATGCTGATAATCTTAATTAGTTATTGAGCAAACTTCGAATCTCTATATATAGAGAGAAATGGAGAAACACAACACCAACCTATCGGACAATCAAACAATCAATTCCATTTTAAATCCAAATGGAAATCTACAAGGAACTTTGAAAATCTTTTCACAACATTAAACTTACCATTTAGTTAGATCTGATAACAAGATTAGAAAAATGTTCAAGAAATAAAAGAAAAGCAAACAGATAACTTTTAGCCAAAGTGAAATTATTATTTCCTTCAATGATGATTCTCTTCACACAACATAACATAACACATGTGTTATAATCCTGTTGTGTCAATGAACGCATGCGTCAATGGAAACATTAAATTTTCGCCAAATCAAAATCAGCCAGGAAATGATAATCAAAACCAAAACGATTGGAATTTTTCTATACTTGTGATGATAATGAACTTTTTCCATTTATTTCATCATTTTTTTTTCATTTATGGCATTTGCTTCGATTATGGGAAAAATTTACAATTTTAGAATCATCGTCTATGGTCATCTCATTATTGAAAGTTCATCCAGATAATTCAAAGTTCACAACATTGTGTAGAAGAATTATTATATCAACAGGCAAACTGGTGATGGTCAATGACCGTTAATGAATAATTATAGACCATTTTCGTCATGGTTGACCCAAGACAAGGACGACCCAAGTAATTTAGCCTCAAGGGCCATCGGAAAAAGGTCAAGCAAAAGATAATGGCTAATTTCATCGACAACAACAACCGAAAAAAGAACCCAAACGAAACTAGACAGTCCAAGTCTGAAGAATTCGTTCCAGTCAGATTTATTATCACTTTACATTTTGGCCAATGTAATTGTTGATATAATATAACTTTGAAACTTTGATTTAATTCACCATACATACCTGTAACCATTATCTAATGGTTTACACGCACCCATGTCCATGACCTTGTCGATGACCTTGCACTTGGCCATCAAAATTGAGTTTTTTTCTAATTTTTTTTTTTTTTCCTTTCGAAATCTTATCTAGGGCCGCCGAATAGTCGTCGATCGGTCAATATGTCTGGGAAGATGGTATGAGAAAATTTCAAAATTATTTCATGTTTAAATAATACTGCTAATATCTTTTCATTGGTCATTTGTAAGGTGAACGTTGATCACGTTGGATCATCAAATTTGAAATGTATCAATATCGAATTCTTATAACATTATTATTATTGGCCGGATATTGGCCCAATAGTTCGAATGGATTTTTCTGGCCATTTACAGCATTATTCGGTAAATCATCATCAGTATCACCTGCTACACAAACGGGACCACTATCGGAAATTATATTACGGCCATACATTGCTGGTGATTCACAAACAACAGATCTAACTGCGTTATCATCATCATCATCTAGTTTGATTGGTCAACAATCAAATCTACTTGGTTCGGATATTGTGCCATTACAAACACAACAACTTCCTCAATCAAATTATGGTTATGTTAATCTGGATGGTTCAACCGGTACCTATAGCAGCAGCAGTAGCCAACAGCAGGAACAATTATTTCTGCCACATCAACAACAACAACAACAACAACAACAGATAGAACAAATTCCGTTGGATCAAACTGTTTCGATCATTCCTAATGATCCACAATTACAACAACAATATTCTCAACAACCATCATCTGAACAACAGCCATCCCTTAGTTCTTATCTATTCAATCCAGCCAATCTCTTTGGTAAGTGGAAAAGTTCATTGTTACTATTAATTCATTCGATTTCGTTACACTCGTTAGATTCAAAGCGATTCTCATACATAACTCGATTCAAACATCAACGACAGCAGCAACAACAACAACAGCCCACGATGACAACATCTTCAACAAAATATATGGCACCAAATCTGGATCAAAATCAATATCTGATTATCCCGAAACCAGTGCCATCAACTCAGCCAGTTTCCAACGTGGTTGAACATCATTCGCATAGCCAACAAGAACCACAGACCAATAATATTCAGCCATCTCAAACACAATCGACAGTTCAACAACAAAAACTCCCGGCCAACAATTGGGTTTATGTATCACCTGTGAATAAACTGAATAGTCAACAACAGCCAATCATATTGGAGGCATATTTTCAGGATCCATCCCTGCAACATCAACAAAATTACCAGGTTGGATCAATCAAAGGTATTATCAGTAAAACAAGCAAACAACGTGGCAGCAGCAGTAGTAGTAGTAGTAGTGGCACAGGAAGTACATTAAAAATTCCTTTACTATCTTGGCTATCGGTGTCACCAAGTCAGATTCAATTGCCATTACAATGGTTCAAAACAAAATCACAACAGCCTGCTGAACAGATGATCGATGAACAACCACAACAACAGTATTATGGTTCGACAATTCAACATCAAAAACCTCTTCACGTTTATGCACCCGGATTGTCATCATCGTTGGCTGGAAGTGGGACAACATCAAACAGTTATTTCACTCAACCCCAATCAGTGATAAATAACGGTAATTCGGCCATACCAAAACCAACACAAACACTACAAGTTCCGGTTCAAAGCTCGAACCAGCAACAATCAGCTAATGGTGGTCAGTCGGTATGGTCATCAGGAGCAGAAATGGCATCGACAAATCGGCTACTAACCGGTACTGTACATTCACCACAACAATCTTCAGCTTTACAATTTTGGATCGAAACCGATCGTCAACCTGGTCGAGTAATATTTCCAAAGCCAACAACAATAACTAGTAACAACCAGTATTCTTCACAACAGCCATATCAAACGATTCAAGATTATCAACCAATTAGAACTGGATCAATATCATCACCACAACCATCATCGGCAACCGTATCACAAGTTGAATCTAATCAAGACCTAGGTGGATGGGATTCAATACCGATGGCTGATATTGTCAAACCGGGCCAACAAACATTGCAGCACGAAAGTAGTGAAACGATGGATTCCAACATTATGGAAACAATGATGCCTTCGGCCTCATCTGATCAATCGATTGTAATGAACGAAACTATTTCCAATCCACAACAACAGCAACAGATACGAGAAACAATTACCGGTCAACAACAGCAGCAACAATCACATCGTGTTGCCTATCAACAACAACAACAACAACAATCACCACAAGTAAATTCAACCACAGCCAGCAGCACTACGAATTCTCGCGCCTTATATAATCATCCACAATTTCAATCCATCTATCAAATGATCCAACAATCTCAACAACAGCAGCAACAACAGGAAAATTCAGTTTCACAAATATAAACATATATACACACACACAACTGAATGAACACAACAAAAAACAACCACATTTCACTTTGAAATCATAATTTTATTCACATTTCCAAAAAAAACTAGAAAAATACAAACACACATTGAACTATTAATATAATCATGAATATATTTTTGGACAAAAAAATCACACATGTCAACTTTGTATCACTTTTTCGATTGATTGATTGGATTGATGATTGAAAAATTTAAAATTTACTTAGTACGTTCATAGAATAACATGTATGGACTTGTTGCATCTCTTAGTACTGATTCCAATGTAATCGATGATACGGATGAATCACTGATGAAATACCATTTGCGATTCTTTTCATTCTTGTCATCATCATCATCATCATTATCGGCAGTGGTGGTTGGTTTATTGTTGCTCGATTCACGATTGCTACTAATCGATTCAGTTGATATTGGATCATCATCATTATTATCATTATTAATCGTATGTTCTATAGTTCCATTGGATGATTCATTTCTATGATCAAGATCTTCATACACAAATTGCATAATATGTTCAATATCAGATACAAATGGTTTCAGATGTAAAAATCTTCGAATATTATGGCCATCAAATGAACCAGGCCGTACACAAACATAGGCCATATAATGGCCGTATTTTAATGAACCAGAATGTATGACTACACCGTACAATGTATATTCTAATCGTCGATCATTCCAATCGCTTAGATCCTGTGGATCGCATTCCGGTTCATAGAATCGTGAGAAATATTCATAGATACGACTTGTATATGGTGATAAATATAATCTATATGGAAATGATATTTTCGTGTTCAATTTATGCATCATTCGATTTTTATTGAAACCAAGTCCAGATGCTTCGAACCGTTTCAATTGCAATATCAACACAGGTGGTGGTAGTGCAATTAGCTGACATCTTACGGCTTTTGAATACATTTTCTGACCGCCGTTACGTTTGGAACAATTTTCACAAAGATATTTATTCGATCCATCAAGTGTTTCTTCTTTGATAAAACTTCGTAACAATGCGCCGAGATCCATATTCTGATAATCATCATCTGTTCGACACATACGTTGATGTGCAAACAAATGAAATTTGTAGCGAAATTCATCATCAATAATTTTCGCAGTCGTTGTTGATGATGATGAAGAAAGTTGACAATTATCAGCAGCTGGAATAGGCAAAGATTCCTTTAGCTCATCATCATCATCATCATCATCAACGTTGGATAAAATATCACCTGATGGTACTATTTCTTCATTATTAATTTTCTCACTATTTTGACATTGGTCTCCATCGTCATCACAGCCCATATAATTTTCATCATCACTATGGTAGGGTGTAATGTCACCATTAGGTATTTGATTTTCTTCATGATCATTGCATGATGTTTGAGTATCATCAAGATTTTGTTGTTGTTTGTTGTTGATTTTTCATTTTCATCTGTTTACGTTCAGCACGTCGAGCTGCCTTTTTCTCTTGTCGTCGTTTTTTTCTTCCAACCAATGATTTATCTTCTTCATCATGATTCTGGGCAGTTTGTTCATCACAACTTTCAACATCACCATCACATTCATCATCATCATCATCATCATTGTTTTTATTTTTCCTATTCTTTTTTTTCATTTTGGCTGATTGTTGTTGTTTATTCTTGGCGATGGTATTCGATGATTCTGATACCGATTTCGAGGATGACTGTGGAAATGTCGTATCAAGCGAAAGAGCAAGATCGATGAATGATTCAAATGTGAATGAACGATAATCACATTCATTACAATGAATGATTGATAATAATTGGCCACCAAATATTGAATCAATAACGCTATGTTTGGCCGTTATCTTATAACGTTGAGCATTTTCACAGTCTTCTGCTGTTGGATTACGACGATCCTCTATCCTTAGTCCTTTCAGCAGTGCATGTTTTTGCCGAAGAATTTCAGATTTTTTCAATGCATCCAACAATGTTATGAGTAATTCTTGAGCATCCTGTTGTGCATAACCTTCAAATTGTTGTTTTTCACGTTGAACATCACTTAACAATGATCTCGGATTTGTTGACCTGGTTGTTTTTTCAAATAATTTTGTTAGATAAAAAAGAAATTCAAATCATTTTACTTACTTTCGTGAGAAAATCTGTTGCTGTAATTGTAAGAAATCGATTGTCAACGAATTTGGCGGTGGTAACAAAAGATGTAACGATTCACTTGTGAATGCTTGTTTCGATTCATTCCAGTAGAATGTACGGGCATTCCAACGAAAATCCGTTTGACAACGTTCACGTAGATAATGATGCAGTGGATAGGTTTGTGCCATCACTTGCATAACTGAATTAAAATAACATGTATTACCTAGGTTTGGTAGACCGGATGGTTGATTATTCAATTGAGCAGAATGACCTTGCATTGATGACGATGATGATGTGGATGGTTGTGTGGTGACACCATCCATTTTTTCGCTTAATAAATCCATCATTGCTTCATCATTATTATCTGCTGCCACAGCAGCAGTAGCTGAATTTCGTTTCGATTTTATTGACGCTGTTTGAGCCAATTTCTTGTTATGAGCACGACGTTGTTGTTTGCGATTCTTTTTAGCCATCGTAATAATCTCGGCAATAGGATTCCTGACGATATATGGCAAATTCCAGAATAATAACCGAAAAACGTTGATCACGAATTCAAACGTGATCGATATGAATGATTGAATTAAATCAATGATGATGAATTTTGTAATTAATTTCGAGTTTGTTTGACAAAACTTTTTTATTCAACACACACACGTGCGTTATATTTACAAAAAATTACACGGTATTTTTCTACATCAATGAAAGTGGAATGTGATTGATTTCTGTTTATGCACGTAAAATATTCATCAATGAGGTTGATCACGTGATATAATAAATAATTCTTTCATAATGGACGTGTAAAAAAAATTTATTGCAAAAATGGTATCCATGCATGGTTTATGGATGAGCGGCATCAATGCTAAACAAATTTTTCTGGGAGTTATTTTTGTTTTGATTATTGACTATTGATCATCGATCATGATCATGGTCAACTTTTTTGCTGTGGTTCGGGTTACATTCTACCAAATGCAGAGTTTATGAAAATTCCCATTGAAAATTAGCTTATTCGAAATTATCCTATTATGAATGGGGTTTAATCAATCGGATGCCATGGACTTCACCTAAAAAAATAAATGGTGCACCAAAATCTTTTGCCGCGGCATCATCCACTCTGTTACCATTGCCATTTACATTTGGTCTAAGGGCAACATTTTATTCATCTGAAAATAAACATGATTCGATCAGCAATAATGATGTATCATTCATTCACCTGTTGAATAACGAAGACAGTTATGATGTTGAATTTGTCATTGACAATAATCGTATATTGGCAAGTAAATGTTTTTTAAAAATTGCGTCATTGTACTATTCTAGAATGTTTTCCGGGGATTGGCTCGAAAAAGATCGTGTTATCATCAAACATTATTCATATGACACATATTACGTCCATTTACGTTTGTTACATGGTGATGATACCCAAATTCATTACGAGAATTTTTATCTTTCGTGACTTTTCAATTATCAACAATCTTTCCATCGGAATAAATCGAATAAATCTTTAACCATTTCGTTTTTGTCATTTATTTTAAAATATATTATTATTTGTTTTCTGTTGTCCAAATAAAAACCGAACTACTTTTCTCGTATAAACATGGTTTTCATAAATTGACATTATTAGCGCATACAAGGTAATTAAATGAAAAAAAAATTGTGACGTATATACTCGACTGTTTACTGATGCTGCTGCTTCACACAAACATTATCCTCTCTAGAAAAATATTGGAACAAAATAATAATGATGACAATGAAACAATACATCATCAACACACAATTTACCATTGATGAAATGGCATAGAAGCAAATTTTGTTGAGCCATATTTCCATTGTTCGTGTGTTGTTGGTGGTGCTAGTGATGATAATCAAATCTGGATGGATTAGATCAATCTAGATCTGAATCCATTTCAACATCAACATCCTGAAATCATTGGAAAAGAGTGCCTGAATAATTCCAGTCATTCAAACCCTGATGTTTTTAGTGTTTCTGATTTATTTATTTATTTTATTCATTCATTCGAAAAACATCGTATTTGACAAGCCATTGTTGTTACATTGTGTTAATCGACCAACAATTGAATATTGTCCTTGAATAAATGAAAATGATGAGAAAAAAATTCATTCATTTCACGAATGCAAACAAACAAAAAAAAATTGTGGATAACAAACAATTGATCAATTTGTCGATGTTGTTGTTTTCATAATTGTGAAACCATACTACAACGAGAATGTCCAGGTGTTTTTTTGGGATGGTAATACCCCACCATAAGAATGAAATTTGATTTTTTAATTTCTGTTCTTCATTTATTTATTGAAGGTAATTGATTGTAAATCGAACACATTTTTATAAATTTTTTTCGCTAATTTTCCAGAAATCAGATATGAAAAAATTGAGACACATCTGACTATATCATATATCAATTTTAAATTGAATTTCCAATCCATATCCATAATCCATAATAATTATAATATTAAATTGTAAACATCAAACACCTTGTCGCTTGTGTTGTACGGGCACGACATTTCCATTTCCTTTGTCTTTTGGATGAATTTTATGATGATGATGATGATGATGATGATGACAATAAACACATCATCATCATCCAAAGTGATCGACATTTTGACATTATCATCATCAACAACAACAGCCACGCTGCCACCACCACCACCACCACCAGCAACAGCACCAACAACCAATCAACAATATAGCAACCAAAAATAAAACAAACAGTGAAAAAAACCAATTCAATTTTAATCATTGAAATCCAATATCTTTGTCGTCATCAGTGTTGTTTTATCGTTTCGCCACCAACAACCAACAACAACAACAACAAAAATGTCGAGCACACAGACACACTCACACTTGTGACATCGAAACGAAAAAAATTGATTGAAAAATAATAACACTTTCTGTAACGACAGAGAAAAAAATATTGTCATCTATAGACATCTATTAGGGCGTTGATCATCATTATTTTCATCAGCAAATTTTCCTAGTTTTTTTGTTGATTAAAATTTTCCCGAATCAATCAAATCAAATTGATCAAATCGAATCTAATCCAACACATCGACACAATATTAGAATGAATTGAACGCATGAAATTTTCATTTTCACACATATTGCCTTTACCTGTGAAAATCTTCAAGGTTTTCAATTTTGTGTCTGCCTCATCATTTTCAGAAAAAAATGATGTGATATGATTGTAATGTATCCCCCTCTCCGTTTATATCCATTCGAAAACAGTACGTAAAAAATAAAATGAAACGATTCTTTCAACGTGATTATCAACGACAATCGGAACCACCACCACCGCCACCATCAGCCTCATCATCATTATCATCCTCATCATCTGCATCTTCATCGATATTACATTCATCAAGTGGTTCATTTTTAGGTAAAATATTTGTCGTTGGTCAATATCAATGTACGGTCGAAGATATTATAGCTGAAGGGGTTTCTCATTGGTTTTTTTGGTCAAAGCTAATAATGGCATACGTTATGCATTGAAACGTCTATATGTCAACAATGAACATGATTTGGCTATTTGTAAATGTGAAATTGATATTGCCGTTAGTATTTATCATTCACATATTGTAACCATAACTTATTGAGTGTCTTTTTGCATGTTTTTATTTCAGAGAAAATTGGGATCTCATAAGAATATCGTGAAATTAGTCGAATCATGTGTTAATTATTGTGGTAATGAGGTGCATGAAATATTTATGCTTATGCAGTATTGTAAAGGCCAATTATTGCATCTAATGAATGATCGTCTACAAACTGGTTTCACTGAAATGGAAATTATTCGTATTCTATGTGATATTTGTGAAGCTGTTGGCCGAATGCATCATAATGATCCACCAATCATACATCGAGATCTGAAGGTAATTGATTGATATATCTAATCTAATGCTTTATTTAATTGTAATTTTCTCATTCTCATCATCGATAGATTGAAAACATTCTCATTTCTGATGATGGCAATTATATGCTTTGTGATTTTGGTTCAGCTACAACTAAATCATTACAATTAAGTGATAATGGTGGACGAAAATCAGCCCTATCTATTGAGGAGGAAATAAAACGTTATACAACATTAGCATATCGATCACCGGAAATGGTGGATGTTTATTCGGGACGACCAATTACTACTAAAGCTGATATTTGGGCTTTAGGTTGCCTTGTATATAAACTGTGTTATTTTACTCTGCCATTTGGGGAATCGACATTAGCCATACAGAATGCGCAGCTAACCATACCGGATTCATATGTTGATCGTTATTCTCAACAATTAACATCGTTGATTGCTTTTATGTTATCACCGGATCCAGGTGATCGTCCAGATATTTATCAAGTCGCTTATCTTGCCTTCAATCTTATTGGCCAAGAATCACCAATATTGAATCGAAATAATATTTCAAAACCAATTTGGTCCAATCTACGTGTACCACCAACTGAACAACAATCCCGTGAAATACGACATCAACGTTCTTCCAACCATGATCATCGAACTAATCAATCAACGACTAGCAATTCATCGACCTCATCATCAACAACAACGATGTTGACGTCAGCCACTAATCTATCGGCTGTAAATAGCACTAGTAATTATCAACAGAAACAACAACAACAACAACAAGCTGCTAATCATCATCATGGTGAAATTGAGAAGACAACATCAAAAACAACAACTGTTATATCAAGACAAAGACCAAAAGGTTTGTTGTTTATTATTGATTTTGCCAACTTTTTTTTCATCAATTTTCATTATCAAATAGCGAGCATTAACATTAATTCGGTGTTGCCAACATCACCGGTTGCTTTCCAACGTGCTCTAACACCATTATCATCATCATCATCATCGACATCAAATCATCATAATGAAACAACGATATCCGCAACGAATTTATCTGTGAAAGATAGTGGTGGTGGTAGTAGTAGTAATAGTAGTCATTCTCATACTAGTGGCCTTACGAATTCGCATAGTTTCTCTTCCGGTAGTCAATTATTTGCATCGGCCACCACCAACACCACTAAAAGTAAATTATTAGATCAACAAAAACAATCAATGAATCTATCATCAAATCCAATATTAATCAAGGATGATGATGATGTACATTTGGATCAATTCGTACATCAGCGTCATCATATACAACAACAGCAGCAGCAGCAGCAGCAACAACAACAACATCAGCAATTATCAATGAATAATAATCCATTCATAATGGATACATCATCATCATCATCATCAAATATTCCGGCACCACCGACTAGGAACCAAAGTTTAACATTGCTTGATACGACATCGACGATTGTTGAGCCAAACATACATACTAGTGGTACAACAACAACAACAACCAATTATCATCAACATCATCGTCGTAATATGAGTGATAGTAGTGCATTTAATCAATCTGCCATTGTCGGTGCTGGTAGTGGTGGCAAAATGTTTGCTATTCAAACAAACAATAGTAATCGGTCATCGAGTGAATTTGTTGCCGATTGTTGTACTACTGATCATCAACAATCATCGCCAACAACAACAGCAAGAATTCGATCATTGAATCCATTCGAAGATAATACAGATGGACAACAAGATTTTAACCGCCAACAGGCAGCAGCACCATCATCGACTTCTTCGTCATCATGTTTATTTGAAGATCAATTATTTGGTAAAGAATTTGATCGTATACGTTTGACAGAAGATTCGAAATGTAAGTACATCGCATGTGTTTGCGTTTTAATGGTTTTGATTCATTCGATTTATCGAAAAACAGTGGCCGATAATCCATTCGATCAGGTACCAGTAAATCAGGAACATTTAAAACAATATCTGGAAAAGCAGCAGCAACAACAACAGCAACAGAATTCTAGCAGCGTCGGCGGTGGTTGTACATCAATTATTATTACCGATAATAATAATGATGATCAACAAGTAACAGCGACATTAAAAAAATCATCCACAGTAATGATAACAATCCGTTCAAATAATGAATTTATGATTGTTAATAATAATGAAACTGATAGCCAACAACAACGACCCGGTTCATCAAATGGTGATCAATTATCAAAGATTATATCAAACAAATCGATTAGCTCGTCTAGTCAAGGTATTATTCATGATGATGATGGTGATAAATCTAATCCATTAATTGCTACACCTAACAACAACAACAACAACATTAATAACAATAACAATAACAATAACAACCACAAAAATGATAGTAATGAAATAGATCTTAAACAAAAATGGCAAACATTCAATTGATTAATTAATCACTGTAAATCAATAACAGAAAAAAAGCAATTTGCCTTTTGAGTGCTTTGTCTTTTTAACCAAAAAAAAAATCTTATTTTTAAAAACGTTTCCTTTCTTTTCTAATCCATGAATTGAACAAACAAATTGAGGCCATCAAAAATGTGCTCAATATTTTTATTGATTGATTGATTAATTTGAAATTGGATCATGTGTGTGTGTTTGTGAAATCTTTAAAATAGTTTTGTTTTTGGATTTCTATGTGTCATTACTATATATATAATAGTTGAAAACTTGTTATTTTATGTGAAAAAGATGAATCAAGACAAGTTTAACGATTGATAATAAATGATTATTATTAACACTATTCTCTATATCTGGTGATGGTCAAAAATCGAAATCTTCTTTTTCCTTGTAATTTTTCCATTGCTTTATTTCGATCAGATTGCATGTCATCTTTTGTTTTGTTTTACATTTCCAACCACGCTGCGCTGAACACCTTGTTGCATCAATTAAATTGACCAACTTTATTTCATGCAATAATCCACATACTTAATCCACTCACTTTCCTTATATTTGTCATGGATCGTTTAGCATTAAATTATCTAAATTTATATTATTGTTCTTCAACATATTTACCATCCAATCGAATAGGAGGATTACACGACGGTACCAATGGCAGTGGTTGTAGCCCACCAACAACGTCCAATTATATGCCACTTTACTCATCCGATACAGCTGAAGATGATGATCATTATTATGATCATAGACATCATTCCATTGGTGACGATAAAAATGACATTACTAATAACAATGATGATGGTGATGATGATGATAATGATCATGGATTAAGAATGGGTCTTTTATCATCCAATATTAATAATCATCATCATATTGATTATGAAGCAACTGGTGATATGACTAAACCATTAGTCGAGGACATTGATGATGACGATGATGATGAAATTATCAATGATAATGTTGACGGTAAGTTCAATTTATTTTCAATGAATCACGTGTTATTGCAATAATGGATGTTTTTTCCCTCAAGATGTTAATTCATCCATAGGATCAGCATCAGATCTTCAGAATACCGATGATGACGATGAATCGGATACTTCTTCATCATCTGACGATGAGGATGATGATGAAGGCGATGATGATTCCCTTGATTCACGTGATGGTGATTCTAGTTTTCAAGATGCTAAAAATCTATTGAATGATCCAAAACAATGTGCAAGTCAACATGATGCTAGTGATGATGACAGTCATAATGAATCATTTAAATATGGTTTGGTTAAAAATCACTCCCCGCATCATCGAGTGTCATTACAATCATCGTCGTCGGTTTTAAAATCGAATACAATATGCAAATCTGCCGGTGGATTAAATATTTCTCGGATACAGATTACACATCATCACCATCCAAATAGTAGCGGTAGCCAGATACAACAATCAAACAATATTGATGATGGTGAAACTAGCATATCAAATTCTTCGATTCGATCTGATACACAGAAAAATATCGATTCACTTGATCATCTAATCGGTCATGTTGAAGGTCATCGACCATTATTATTAGAAGATGAAGATGAAGACGATATTATGCCCAACGTATGTTCAACGGTAAAATCACTGATTTCAATCAATGATCTATCGATAGTCGGACAGCAAGCTTTAGTATTTGATTCAAATAATGATTCCAAATATTCAATTCAATCACCACAACCACCACCATCATCCACATTCACACAACAACCGGTCAATGTGATTCTAACTACTCATCATCATGCTCCACATTCCGATCTGGAGACACTATCATTATCACCACCATCACCATCAACAACAACCAATACATTGAATAATGTTCACCATCATCATCAACATTCATTCGATAATTCTAGTGAAGAGAATGATCGTCGTCTTGATGAAGAAGTTGAACGTAGTCTCATTCCACAGGTTATGTTTGATCAAATGAATAATAAAGATCTTTTTGGATCGATACCATTTACGGATAAACAGCTAATTGTAAGTTATAACTGAATATCAAAACAATTTGCAATCTTTAATGTTTGAATCAATAAATTCTTTAGAATCAAACTATTCAACATCAAAAAGAAACAAGTATAGACCCTGCCGCTTTGCTTGAACATAGAAATGAACCGATTTCAGTTCCAGCCATAAAAACCATAACAACAAATCGTTTTGAGAATTCATTTTCAGATTTACCCTTTTCGACTATCATACAGGAATCAGCAACAACAACAACAATGAATACTATTTCATCACCATCCATATTGATTGGAAATAATGATACAACTAATTCGAATCCCGGTAGATCGACAACCGATTTATTCGGTGCTGTTCCATTTGAAACACCACCATCGTCAACGAATAAATTACAAGGCCAAATAATAAAAATTCCTCAACTAATACCAGCACCACCCGTGGCAACTATAGCCAATAAGGTTGGAATACCTAAACCACTATCATCAACTGTGACAAATTCAACAACTATCATAACAACAACAACAACAACAACAACAGCTGCTGCTGCTGCTACTGTATCTAAACAACAGCAAACAACATCATCGGTTTCAACTGGTTTAAACACCAGTACTACTGGTAAACTGAGCCGTAATCAATTACAACGATCAAATTTAAAAATCAAATCTAAAGTTGCAAAAAAATATGAAGTTGATGAAAGTGATGATGAAGTTGATGGACTATTGGATCCGAATGAAAGTGAAGATCTATTATTGGATGGTGATTTCGACGATAATTGCGATCGATCAATAACGAAAGAATCATCATCATTATCAAACAAGAAAAAGAATAAAAAAGATAAAAAGGTAAAAAGCCAAGTGATTTGATAATGAATTCCTTTGAAAATTAATTAATCAATATGTTTGATTAGGAAAAAAGTGATAAGAAATCCAAAGAATCGAAATCAAAAGAAAAGGATAAAAAATCCAAGGATAAACCACCACATGATAAACCAATGGAAAAGGATAAAAAAGAAAAAGAGAAAGAAAAAATGAAAAATAAAAAAGATAAAAACAAAAAGAAGAAAGATAAAGAATCAGCGAAGAAAAGATCAACCAACGCCATGACTGATGTTCGTGATGATGATGGTGATGATGATGATAATGTTGTTGTAAATGATCAGATATCAAAACCTAAATCAACAACAACGACAACGACGATGATGATCACAGCAACAAATGCCTCGGATACGACATTGATTCCATCAAACACTAGACTTTCTTTAGTGAAAATGGTCGATAACTCTGGTGGTAAAGATAAAACGAATCGTAAAAATTCGAATAATAATAATTGTGGTGGATCAACTACAAAACAAGCATTTGCCAACATGAGTTTCGAGGATGAAACATTGTCATCTCATCAACCGAGTCTTCGACATGTCCATTATCATCATCAACAACAATTTAATTCATCTTCAAAACAACAGCAACAGCCATCAAGAACAACAACGGCAAATATTCAATGATGAAAAAAATCAAATGAATTTGTAATGTTTTACTTTCTCATCTCATCAAAAATATGTCTTTCCCTTCGACCTTGATCCTCTCGAAATTGAAAGATTTGAAATGAAAAAAAATTTTATAAACTTTAGTGTGATTTTGATAATTATGAAATTAAACATTAAACATTTAAACATTCGATGATGATGATGATGATGATGAACTTGTGATTTGTGTTGGCGCCTTGGCGTTTTTTATTTTTCTATTTGAAATTTTGATGATTTATATATATTTTTGTTTGTTTTGAACAGCATACACACACACACACACACACACTGCCGACAAGATTTTTTGTAAATTATCACTCAAAAATAATCACAGAATCAGATGATGAAATGAGAGAGGGAGAGACCAGACCATGGTCACATAACATATATCGATAATCACATGATCATCATTTGGCTGGTCTTTCCAGGAAGACTAACAAATACATTTCTTACGTTTTTTTTTGATTTTGATTTTGATTTTGTTGATGATCGATACGTGATTGCATTTTTTTGGGTGCAAAAAGGTTGGCCGACCTAACTATACCACAGCTACTACTCTTACCTGCAGTTCTCATATGATGATGATAATGACAGAGGAAAACTAAACGAAAAAATCGAAACATTCTGCCATCCAGATACAACAAGTACGATGATCATTTTTCAACTTTTAATGCATTTCATTAACATTTAATTTGTGAAGATGATAAGTTTGTGCACACATCACATGTTCTTGTTGTGAGCTACAGGCTGATTTTTTTTATTTCTTTTCCAAAAAAATCGTCTGATTAATGATGTGACAAGATTGTTGTTTGAAAACAGAGAGATTGAAAGAACTGGATTTGGATACAATCCAGCGCAATACAGTCTTGTTCATCATCATTTTGATGGTGGTGGTGGTTCAACCTTCAAAAATGTAATTGCATTTCAAATGACTGGATGTCATATGTTTCAAATGAAAGTATTCAATACCCTTTGCTTATCATCGAATTGAATAAGCTTCTATTTAGTATTTAAGAATTTGTCTGTTTTTGTATTTGGCATCTACATACATCATGACGACAACAACATTGTCGTCGTCGTCGTCGTTTTGATCAAATTTCAAATCAATTTCAGCAACACTAAATGATGATGGTGGTGGCGGCGATAATGTAGTTGTTGAAAGTCAAGGAAATTGATTCTCCATTTTTGCCAATCGAAATCCATTTCATTGTTGAATTGCATCTGTATCTATAATGTGTATACACACGTACATCTCATAATTATTATCACCACCACTACGACCACAATAGCTTGATATAGTTAATACACAAAAGCATCATCATCAAAACGAAATCTGTTGTTGCTTGTTGATGGTTTTTATTTAAACAAAACTTATACAACAACAATCATCATTTTTCGTTTTAGTGTTGATTTGGCTTATCTTGGCGTTGCTGGTTTAGTGTACTCACCCAATAGGTTTATAAAATAAATCCTCATCGATTCATTTTTGTTAGTTGACCGAAAAAATATCTGGTAAATAAAACTTTTTTGTCGTTTTATAATTTCCTTTAGATAAAATCATAATTTCAACTTTTTCAAATGTTTTTTTTTCTATTTAATCACTGTAGGAACAGAACCCTAAAAAAAAAAAAAGGCTGTAACAATGAAAGAAGTTGGTACAAAAGCAATACCGGCATCACGTCGTCATATTGTGAATGATCCAAATGAATTACCCGATCGATATTCATCAACACCCGGTGGTACATTATATTCCACAACACCTGGTGGTAAGTAATTGATTTTGATTATCCATTTAATTTCATTAGATTAGATTTGATTAGATTAATTTTGTTTTCATAAATCTACTGTCGAGTAAAAATTCGTGATTGAACATAATTTGATTTGATAAAAGCAAAAAAACAACAAACATATGTCCTCTTGTGTTTGTGTGTGTGTGACAACAACAATAATTGATTCACATGATATTTTTCAATTCAAGCTTAATCATTTCGTCAGTAATAATCAAAAAATTCATGAATTTATCATAAAAATTTAGAATTTTCATTTCAAACCATACAAATATCAGTCACATGCTTGATATCGTTGAAAACAATGTAAAAGACAAATACACAGACACTCGAAAAATGATGGCATCAAACTTATTTATTTTGTGATCATCACCATCCATTTCAGTCGTAGTCGACAACAACGTTTTTGTATTTGTATTTGTATTTTTTTGTTATAAAAACGTACACTTATTTTTCTCCATACAAATTACCATTGTACAACATGTGATCGTTCAGTATATATTTTCTTTATTTCAACAAGTTACAATTTCTCTTTTTCATTCCCTCATTTCTGCTGTCGCTAAAAGAGATGGAAAAATATGAAGGCAATGGAGGATGGAGAAAAACATGTGACTTTTTTAATCATTCTTTTCTGATGCTGATGATGTCGGCCATGGGGTATAGCAACAACTACGACAACATCGATGATGATCGTCATAGCCATAGTAACGATGATTATTATTTTTGAGAAAAGAGATAGATTATGGTGATATATGATTATGATGATTGTATGTAATATGACAAAGGTGAAAGAATGATTAAAAAAGTAGCAGTCCATTTTTTGGAGTGATGATAAAATCAATTGAAAAATCACATGTCATGGCTTACGTTAATAATGATAATGATTGCTAAATGTTTTTTCAATAATAATCATTAATCAATTTTCGTTGGAAATTTTTTCTTTATGTAAAAAATAGGCACACGAATCATTTATGAACGAAATTTTCTAATGAATCTAAAGAATAGTCCATTAGCACGTTCACCACCAACTATGGCATTCATACCCGGCGTAACCAATATTGAACCCACGGCACATAATCCTAAATATGAAGCACTTGAACCGAAAAATATTAAAAATAGTTCCAAAATTGTTGTTAAAAATCACGCTAAAAAACATCATCATCGTGATGAACAGCCGCAATTCGATATTGATATCTAATCCCAGCCGATTCAGATTTCAATTAACATTCATTGAAATTGTGATGGCCAAAATAAAAATAAAAACTCAAGTTGATTGATTACATCCTCATCAAAAACCAAAAAAAAAAAAAAAAAAAAAATGAAAAAATGATTTCACTTTTCTCAGAATTCAAAAAAAGTTCTTTCTTTTTTTTCAGTCATCTCAATTCTCAAATTCATTATTTCTACATTTCTGCACCACAACAAGGCCATCGATGACCGGTTTTTGTTCTTCGTTCAATTCGTGTTTAGTATATTGTTATCGCAATAAAAATGGGAAATGTTGATGTTCAAAAAGCCAAGTGAGACAACAACACAAGCTCAATTTGAATCAAATTTCGATTCATTAGAAGAATCGATGAATCAATTTGCAAATTCAACTACTACTTCATCTACGACATCTTGCCAATTTATAAAAAAAAAAATGTGATATTTTGCTTGTATAATATAAAATTATTATTTTGTGAACAAAAACAAACAAACAAACAATATCGAAACACGAATTCAAACACTCACTGTCAAACTTTGTATTTTTTTCTTTTTTTTCATTAATTATTCTCCTTGTTATAATTGATCTATGGCTTTTTCTCTTCATTATAATTGAATTTTTTTCGTGTTTGTTTTGTATTTTGAAATTCTGAATAAACATTGATCGATTGATGTATTATTGGAATTTGTACTAATGAAAATATTGATAAAGTAGCGTAATTATTGGTAAAAATAGAGAGATAAAAACTTGAAATTGACAATAATGAGCAATCATGACTAATACATTAACAATAATGAGGCATTCTCAACAACAATGTTTTGGTCGGTAAATGATGACAAAGCCAGAGAGAAATTTGTTGAATGATGATGCTTTATTTTACTGTGAAATCTGGTTCAAACACGTGTAGAGAAACATAGTTGTAATTGTGCTACGAAATATTCATAAGTGAAAATGTGTGAACAAATATTCGTCCAATTCGCCAATCAATTCAACTGAGGAACGAATGGATATGGAAATAAACAACGCCAACAAAGTAAGTTACAAGTTGCCTTGGTAACTATAATTTTCAATGATGAATGATTGTATACAAAATAGTGGCGATTTTGATTTATAAACTTGACTGTTTGTATGATTGTACAAGAAACATGTGAATCAGCCTGTGAATGGGGCAAGAAACATTTGTTGTATGGATCGAGCTTTTTTGACCACAATGTCCAGGATAGGCAGTAGAATTTTGGGTTGTTCATTTCGCATAGGATGTGATTCAAGCATCGGGCAACATTTTGGGCCAGACAATTGTTGTTCAACTTGAAAATGATGCTGCCAAGGGGAATTGTCAAACCAAGGCATAGCTTGGATGATCAGTGTGATTTCAAGAGAGAGCAATATCAGCAGATATGTCGTAAATCGAATCATCGTCATTTGGCAATTGATAACAATACAAACATCCATTGCTTTTTATAGCCAATTTGGTCAGGGACTTTGAAATGATGGAATCTATTTCTGTTCGATGAATGTAATGACCAAGTCGATTCGCACCAAACTGTGAACAAACAACCAACAAAACAACAACAATGTTGAAATAAATTGAAATTTTAATTAAAAATTCATCAAACAAAACAAAAAGGAACGCCGTCCAATTAGCGAACGGTTGGCCAAACAATTGAACATCAATTCGGTTAATAAAAAGCTAGCAATATGATTAAAGCCTAAAGGGACAAGTGTAATAATTCACTCGTCTAGACATATGGTTCGTACCAATAATTCACACACTACATAAGGGTCCATGTTTGATGCTGGCCGGCGATCTTCAAGATAACCGTAACCTTTATCGGCAACGCTACGTGGAATTCGCACCGAAGCTCCTCGATTGGCCACACCATAGCTAAATTTTTCCATTGACGATGTCTCGTGTTTACCCGTTAATCGTCGGGTGTTGTCCAAACCGCCTTTCGGATCGTATTGAGTGATGTGCTTGTGATGATTTTTGGCCAATTTTTGCATGGCTGCCTCGATCACTTTCATACCCCCTTTTGATGACATAGCGATTGTTGAGAAATTTGCATGACAACCAGCGCCATTCCAATCACCTGTCATCGGTTTTGGATCGAACGTTACGCCAATGTTAAAATCTTCAGCAATTCTATGTAGAAGGTAACGGGCTATCCAAAGGTCATCGGCTGCACGTACACCAATGGTGGGGCCAACCTGAAACTCCCATTGAGAAGCCATCACTTCAGCGTTCACACCACTGATTTCAATGTTCGAATAGAGACACGCTCGATAATGTGCTTCAATAACATCTCGACCAAATGCTTTGCCTGCACCTACTCCACAATAGTATGGCCCCTGAGGAGCGGGAAATCCACCGGTTGGCCAGCCAAACATTTTGTTCGGTTCGTTTCCGTCTAGCAACGAATATTCTTGTTCAAGGCCGAATGTAGGTTCTTCAACTGCAGCTTTGTCCATAGCTTGAACACAGGTGTGGCGTTTGTTGGTTACATGTGGCGTGTTGTCATAGTTGATTGTCTCGCATAATACCAGAATATTTTGACCTTGACGCATGGGGTCGGGATAAATTCGTACAGGTTTCAAATAGACATCAGAATTTTCGCCCACCGATTGGCAGGTGGAACTACCATCAAAGTTCCAACGAGGCAGTTCCTGTACGCTTTTTGGAACGAAATTCAACGTTCGTCCTTTGCTTCGAACATTCTCTCCAGAACCATCGATCCAGATGTATTCGGCAATGACAGCATCAGCTGGTTGTTTCAACGATCTGTAGCTGGCCAATACGGAAGCATTCGATTCAAGTCGAGTTTCTGCTATCCAGCGACCTGTGTGCAAGATAATAAATCCCATAATTAACAATGAATTGCACATGAACCGAATACATACTTTGGATCACCATCACGGCCGCCTTACTATTCTTCTGCTGCTGCTGACCACGGCTCAATCCGATCCAACCGATTCTCAATGCTGAACGAAACATTGTGCGATATGACGAGTCTATCAAGCAGAAAGAGAAAGAGATGAATGTAATGAATTCAACTGAATCAGACAATGTCAAATTACGACGAGATTTCGGGTTTTTAAATGATTCGAAATCGGTGTGTGTTGAGCAATGAACACTCTGTCATGTTAACAAATGACAACAAAGCGATACACTTGTTTCCTGACTCGAATATCATCATAGGATTGATTTCATAGAGCAAAAACTGTTTTCATTGCTTATCGATCGATCGATTAGTTTTCAAAAACAATGCAAGACCATTCATCAATAGCATGAAGCAAAACTCAACCAGATCAACGTTCAGGTGTTTGACAAAGTCCAAAGACTCACCAGATTTCTTGAGACTGTTCTTCAAATGATCTTTTCTCTTATGGACCACTGATGGAAATATGGTACAAACCAATGATCTGCTGCTGATCGGTCGGATCGGAAACAACGATTGATAAACAATATGTAATGAGAATGTTGTGTTCGGACGTACGAACGGACGGTTAATGAGCTCGTATATCTATCTTTTGCTCACCAACAAACACACACTACGGGCATACATGTGAAAATGATGGAATCAAGCCAACAACAACTTCAATATAGTTAGTTGAACAACAATATGCCTGCAAATGTTTGCCTTAGCTATACAGTGTACATTGCCAGACAATGACAAACAACAACACATCTCCCATCTATATAGACTGAACCATATTCTATATAGACATTATCAACATACACATGCATACAGTAATCTTGATTCAAAGTCAATTTAGTAATGAATAATGATCAATTTGACCAGATATTTTAATTCGTTAATAAACATGGTTTTACCTTGTAATCAACAGATCAAGTCATTGCCAGTTTTATGTTGGCTATGGTGGGCATTATTTAATTGATAATTTCTTTGCATTTAACATGATTGGTGGTGAATGAGCAATCTTAATAGAAGAAAAATTATCAATGGCCAAGTAGTGGCCAACATTCCCAATCCATATTCGATTATTATCCATACTGGTCTACGTTGTTTGTCGACCATTGTGGGTGTAATGCCCAGATGATCACCACATCTTTTTACTCGTTGCTGAATCAATGTTCGCGATACGATACGACGATCATAGGCGAATCCAAGCCAAGCACATAAATCTATGAATGCAGTGGCCATGTTGAAACAATTACGCCAACCATGTTCGCTAGCCGAATAATCCCAAGGAAAGACGTGATGGTAATTGTGGTAGCCCTCGCCATAGGTCAGATAAGCGACCCAATAGTTGTCCCGCGATTTCATCGAACGATCATAGAATTGATAGCCATACATATGGGCCCATGAGTTGACAGTCCAGGTGTGATGTAGTGACAAAACATAACGGAAAAAATTTCCCATAACAGCAAGCCAAAAGTCTTCGTTCCAATAATAGACCGGAATCATGACAGGCACGACACCCCAGAACAGTAAAGTTAACGGGATATAGAATCGACGTTGAAATCGAACAATAGGGTCTGCCCATACATCCGACATATCGATCAAGCGACCTTTTGCTTTCACCTCTGGATGTTTACGACACAACAACCAGCCCATATGTGCGAAAAAAAATCCTCGACGTGAGTTGTGAGGATCGGCATCCGTTTCTGAATATTTGTGATGCGTTCGATGATCACGAACCCATTCGTAGAGATCGTTCTATTTAGTAGGAATTTCGTTTACAATTGAAAATCATCAAGATATCCAAAAAATACTTGCCTGAAGACAAACTGTATGAAGAATCATGAGTACGACACGAAGTGACCAATGTGCTTTGTAGGACCGATGTGTCCATAATCGATGTGCTCCTGCCAACACTCCAAACGATCCAATTGCACTTACGAACCATGACCATATGAGTGATTGCCACCGTGCATGTCGTAGGCCTACATAGAATCCATAAACTCCCAATGTATGCAATACGATCATAGCAAAAACGTTACGCCATACAATCGGTGCTTTGAAACTGCTTCCCGTCTTCACATGCCGATGCTGTTCATCTTTGTTGTCGATTTCCTTTTCATTACCGTCCAAGTTGGATTTTCGGTATCGTTGGACGTACCAATCGGGTACATCTGGTCGTCTTAGATCTTGATCATCGAATCTTTCACTCACAATGAATGCATTACTATTTTTGCTACTGTCTTGGTGTGGTTGTTGAGCCATCTTTTGCTGATCTGTTCGAATTGACACCTGAACATGTTATGAATTGGGTTGCTTGTGGATAATCTTTGACAGAAACCTTTTCTACCCATTTGTTTCGCTTCGGTTTCTCTTTTTCTATTCTAACATGATACATGATAACAGTCAAATTTAACTGTACTAATTGCTATCGGCGACCATTAAACAGATATAGCAAAGCGGACAAATTGGTCCTGACTGAATTGCCAATTAGTTATAGCCCATTCTCATTTGTTATTTGCAGCACAGGTAGCCATTATGAGAGGAAAATGAGCAAAGCAAATATATATTACACAAGTAGAACAATCGATCATAACTCAAATTTGTCAATTTGGCTAGTTTTTCCTTTATTTGCCAATCAAGTGTGTGTGTGTGCATATGTGTGTGAGTTATGATTTAATGATCACAAGGAAGTCAGTAACAATAAATCAGTTTGTCATCAGCGTAAAATATACCTTAAGATGAGAATAAGGAAAATTAATGCCGTCGAAACAAGAATACCGGACACTAAGTCAAACAGGAAGGAAACAGGCTTCCGCTGTTTATCCATCATGGCTCCAAGTGGCTGTTGTCTATCACCAGTTCGTTCCAAACGTTGTTCGATCACTTTTCGAGATACAATTCTACGATCATATGCCAAACCAAGCCAAGCCGCAAGATCAATGAAAGCTGTAGTTACATTGAAATTGTGTTTCCATCCATGTTCGCTGGCAGAATAGTCCCAAGGAAAGGTGTGATGATAGTTGTGATATCCTTCGCCTAAACTCAGGTAGACTACCCAGTAGTTCTCTCGCGGTTCAATCGATCGCTCATAGAATCGATAGCCAAAAAGATGGGCTGCCGAATTGACTGACCAAGCCTGATGTAATAGCATCACATAACGAAGAGCGTTTGCCATAATAGAAACCTCTAGGTTTTCGTTCCAGTAATGAACGGGTACCCAAACCGGAAATATACCCCATAACAAAATGACTAACGGAATGTAGAATCGACGCTGGAATCGAACAATAGGATCTGCCCATACGTCCGACATATCGATAAGAGCACCTTTAGCTTTTACCTCGGGATGTTTACGACACAACAACCAGCCCATGTGTGAAAAAAAGAAACCTCGACGCGAATTATGAGGATCGGCATCTGTGTCGGAAAATTTGTGATGAACTCGATGGTCGCGAACCCATTCGTAAATGTCATTCTGTAGAGCGATTGTCTGGGCCATCATGAGCAATAACCGTAACGGCCATCGAGCTTTGTACGATCGATGTGTCCAAAGTCTATGCGAACCGGCCAATACGCCCAATCCACCGACCACTGCCATTAGACATGACCAAGCAATCGTTTTGCGACGAGCATTCCATATTGCTAGATGAATTCCGTACAAAGCGGCCAAATGCAATATAGTCATAGCGATCACGTTACGCCATACGATTATCGTCTTATATGGTTTACTAGTTGGTTCATCTTTCTCAAAACCATTCGCAACACCTTTCCCGTTGTCAGTCATCTGATGTCGAAACCAGTCGGGCACATCCGGTCGATCGAAATCTTCATCACGAAATTCTTCAGTTACGATAAACAGTTTGTTGGTCGCCATTGATTCTAATCAATTCGATGGCTATTGGATTAACTATGAACTATATATGAATGAACGCATACAAAAAAAGATAGAAAAAAACCTGATCTGATGTGAGAAAGACATCTGTATTTATATCTAAACAACAAGTGGTCATCACATACAACATTACACTTGTACACGGATGTTCAAAACAATTTCGTGATTGGGTTGAACGTGGATGGATAGGATGTCTCGATGATCATGTTTGATTTAATGATCGGGTTGTCAACGTTATGATGCTATATATGATTGACAGATGAACGTTATATGATCAACAACAACGTAGATATTGAATTGAAAATTGTAAAATAACCGCCCAAAACGCCAAAGCCAAGCCAACTGCAGTGTCTATGATCGCTGATCGAGGTTTACGTTGTTGCTGTTCGGCGTCGAGTTGTCCAAGTGGTTCACCTGTACGACTAATTCTATCCTCGATAACCGATTTCGTAACGATACGTCGATCATATGCCAAACCGAACCAGGCGCAACAATCGATGAATAATGTGGTCATGTTGTAATTGTGAAGCCAACCATATTCGCTAGCTGAATAATCCCAAGGGAAGACATGATGATAGTTGTGGTAGCCCTCACCATGCGTTAGATAAGCGACCAATTTGTTTTCTCGAGGCCGAATCTTGCGGTCATAAAACCTATTGCCATAGATGTGAGCAGCTGAATTAACCAACCAGGTATGATGTAAGGAGGCCAAATAACGGAACAGGTTCAAAGACAGCGCAATAAATATATCTTCCTGCCAGCAATAAATGGGTACAATGACAGGTATGAATCCCCAAAACAATAAGACTAACGGCATATAGAATCGACGCTGGAATCGAACAATCGGATCTGCCCATACGTCCGACATGTCCACGAGAGCACCTTTTGTTTTCACTTCGGGATGTTTACGGCATAGTAGCCAGCCCATATGGGCGAAAAAAAAGCCTCGACGAGAATTGTGTGGGTCAGCATCCGTTTCCGAATATTTGTGATGAACTCGATGATCGCGAACCCATTCGTAGAGATCGTTTTGCAATGCTGTTGTCTGTGACACCATCAGAACTAGACGCAAAGGCCATTTGGCTTTGTATGATCGATGTGACCATAATCGGTGAGCACCGGCCAAAACACCGATCGAACTGAATTGACCGACAGTCCATGCCCACCAAATTGTCTGAAATTTGGTCTTGGTCGAAATAAATGCATATATGGCAAACACGTGAAAAAAGATCATGATGAAAACGTTACGCCATACGACTATCACTTGGGTATTGGATTTAGAAGAATCAACTGCATTGTTGTTTGCATCCCAATGGCCATTGTCGATATTTTGGCTGGCCAAGGATGATGGTGGCTGTTTATTGCAAACATTATCGTCGTTGACGAACATTTTGTCAAAACGTTTGGATGCTGTAGTGTAGCCATATTTATATACTGGATCCAAATTGGCCAGTCCTGATGATCGTGTCATGTTGAATTGTTGCTGCCATTCCAGTCAATCAAGGTTTTTTTGTGATATATTTTGTACTTGTAATTGGTGATCGATGATTTATGGCGTTTGTTCCTTTTCAAATGGTGACAAATTTCTGTGAAAAAAAACAACAAAACATTCTCCACTGTTTCGAACATTGTGTACTGCTGCTGCTGCTGCTGTTACATCAGTGTGTCCCCTTCTCACCACCATTGTTTGTACTAATATTTGTTCTAAATTCAATTTCGAACTAAGAGCTGAGAATCGATTGATTTTATTGCCTTTTTTTGGCCACAACAACCGATCTCATTCTCAATTGATCGGTATGGCTCCAACATCAGCTCGATTGGCATCAAACATACCAGAAGAGGATCGAGCTTTTTTCATGGTCATGGACATTGTATTCAGTCCACATCAACATTCGAGCGCTGAACTTGGTTATTATTATGAGGCCGAATGTGAGGATACATTCTCGATGCAACGATTTCAAGTGGCTGCTAAATTCTTCCATCATTATGATCAGTATCGGCCATTAAAACAATTGAGTCGGATATTGGTCAAATATGTCAACATTAGCTCTACATCTGGTTCTCTATCCGCTAATGCTCAGCATCGAATTCGCAATCAATTGATCAAAGAATTTGATCTGGTCAAACATAATGCTCATTACGGTCTTGTTCCAATGTATTCAATCTGTTGTCGAGTACCGAACGTATTCTATGTATTCATGGATCGTCCAGATGAAACTCTGGACGAATATCTATTACGTCACAAGGACAACATGTTGCCCAATTATTCAAGTCAATCAAAATCTTTTCGGCCTGTCTCTCTCATTCCATTCGAATCAACCCGATTCATATTACGATCTGTGTCGAATACTTTACTGCGGTTACATGAGAACCTAATCTTTCATGGCCGATTATCAGCCAATTCGGTGTTCATACGATTCAATCATCACAACCATCATCATTGGACAAAAACAACTACCGGTGATATATCATCAGTTCGTTTGGCCAATTTGGCATTCGCTCAAGTGTTTAAGCATCCACAAACCGATCAAGAACAATGTCGAATCGATGAACAACAAATAGAGGTGCAACAAACCAAAGAAATGATCAATTTATACGAAATGGCTGTTCGTGTGGGAGAATGCACACAATTTGAATCGATACAGCAAAGAGATCGATTTTACGATACACTATCCTTGTTGCTATATACCGATGATACCTGTTCGATAGCAAGCAAACAATCAACGTTACAAAAATTTTCCCAGTTTCTTTAAACCAATTGATGATGAAATGTGGGGAGAATGTCTATGTCTACCCTTCACACTTTAATTTGTCATGTGAAATTCAAACAAACAAAAAATATATGACCAATATATTTCCAATATTCAATGCACGTCACTGCTTACTTGGAACATCGCCTATCACGTTTTTATTTGACATACGTCAGCATCATTATCGAGATGAATCGATCGATCGATCGATCGATCGTAGGAAGGGGATAGAGATATTAGTCACAATGAACCACAATGAAAACTAGGTCAACGTCGTTTGTTTCAACAACTCTCTGATAGGCTAGCTCAAAACTCAATTAATTTTCATTGTAATGACCACAGAAATGATTAACCATTGTGAATATAAATATGAATACCAAAGAAAAATAAAAAAATGTGTGTTGAGTTGGCACAGCTATTTCAATTGTAATGCTTTTGTCATGGTTCACGATGACTTTTCCGTTGTTGTCGTCGTGGTGGTAATCGGCGAATATCATCTTCGGTTAGGCCCAATAAAGGGAACCTAATGATGGGTTTTCCTTCTCGTTCCAGCTGATGATTTGTGACAAATGTTGTTGGATCAGTTGTGATTGATTCAGTTTCTCTATCGACGGCAACTACGTTATCAATGACCGATGCAGTTTTATCTGATGAACGACAATGTTGCAACAGACTATGGAAATCTTTAGTCATGACGGCCAATCCTCTTACGTATGGTTCTACATATGATCGACATAGATCCAACAATAATCGACCATGGTACCGGTCGACATTACCGCCAATCAAATATCGTTCTCCAGGTTTCAGTTTCACACCACAAGCAGCCGATGATCCATACGTATGTAGTGACTTGTATGTGGTCAACAATCGTTGCTCGTCACTTATGACACTGATAGGCTCAAAATGATAATCGACACTCATTGATTGTTCATTCGATTTTTCATCTGTCAAATGAATCGCATTAGTTAATTAATTCAGAATACAGACAGACTACGCCCTCATACTTACCGGTTATGTGGAGAAGAGCGAAAAAGTCTGTGCTGCAATATTGTGGTTCATCGGGCATCAAACATGAACAAGCATCGATGACAGGTGTTGTTATTGATGTCATCAATATCACTATGATGATTATTCGAATCGGCATTCCACCAAAGGCTTTATGATGTTTGTCTGATACAACGGTTGTCGTGTGGGCCATGTTTGTAAAACGAATTGCCAACATCATTTACAGCGGTTGCTATAATGCGTCCTGCCTTTATATATGACTGATTTTTCTAGTGACGCCAGAGATTCGTCGTATTCATCATCGATGATCGACCCTCGATCGTAAAATGTTTGAAAAAAAGTAGAACAGGACAAGAAAAAATTCCAACTAACCAATTAACCAGCCAGTCAGCTGATGTAATTGCTCTACATATTTGCCATTCGAGTCAACTAATGAGGCAATCTGGATCATCAAATCGATTGAATCAACCATGAATTATCAACAAAAAAAAGCATTACATCAGTATCAATGTTGTGTGTGTGTGTGTGTGTGTGGCAGTCAAGACGAGTTAGTCAGTCAGTCAGTCAGCCATGATCATTTTTACAGATTGCACGTAAATCTCTCCATCCATTCGAGCTTGTTGAAGGTCCGTTATAGTGGTAAATAGAAAAACATACATGTAATACACACACACACACACACACACATGGCTGTTGATTGATTATTATGATCTTTCTAAAAATAGAACCTTAAAGCATCTGCTTCTTGATCTTGGCAACCAGTTGAGAAGAAGATGGCTAACCAAGATCGATATTTGGATTCGATTCAAGTTTTACAGCGAAATATTTAATCAGACTGGCACCAATTTTAATTAATGATGAAGAGGAAATTATCATCTATTAAATTGGCCATGATGACAACTCAATCATTGTTTTTTCATTTTGCATGTTTGAACTGTATTTCCGTTGATTTGTGTTGACGTAATGGCTCGTTTTTTCCACAGATGTGTGTATGTTTAACCACGATGTTGGCCGTAGACCATTTTGACCAAACATCGTTGCAAACATGAAACGGACAACGAGATGATCGAAAAGATAGACATTCCAAGCCACATGCCAATATTGCCACCTATGGCACCAATCACTTCCTCATACGAAATGGCAGGACGATGTTGTATAAGTTGGAACGGTTCTGTCGAAGGTCGTATGTAGACTTGAGCGAAGCAGTTTGTTATCTGTTGTTGCTCGTAGATCATTTCATCGGTACCTGTGTCAATCAGTGTATGTATAAGAGATTAGTGAATGAAATAAATCATCAATTTGCCAGATACTCACAATCAAACAGTCCACGACTGAATGACCGATAACCGGATATTTCATAAATAGATTGATGACACTCTTCTGGACAAACGGCCTCGCAGCTTTGTTTGGCCACCAGATATAGACTAATGTTCTGTTGGTCATGTGGGCAGATATGTTCGCGGCGTAACGATTCTTCGAAAACAGCCGAAGCAGACAATACGTTATAGTAACTTTGACATGAATGAGCCATTTGTGAGATATGATTCTTGATGCAATAATTGCGACATTCCTCGTTCGTATGGAATACTTGCAACTTTGGATCCTCGCTATGTTTACCGTAATGGCTGCAGAATGGTCGATACGGTCGATCCATTAACATGGACATTCGTCGTGTGAAGACAACTTCATACAAATATGGTCCGGTCACATGTAGATATTTGTATTTACGTTTATTGATCAACGTATCTGACGAATGGACTGAAACAATGTGATAATGATGATACTATTTAATCAAGAGGATGAGATCATCAAATGCAAATCTTACCAGTCAGTTTGATGGCTTTTTCCGAAAGAAAGTGAAGTGTATCAATATCCATACGGATATCAATCTTGATCATCGTTTGAAGGTCATAAAAGATTGCAAAATTGTCCCGAAGACAATGATTCCATGTTCGATTTGATTGACGAGTTGGCCAATGACATGACAATGAATCATTGACACATTGTTCGAAGACTAAACGTTCTACATCGGCAATTGGTGGTATGTATTGAAGCCATTTTTCTTTCATGTCGTGCATAGAGCTAAAATAGGTAAAACACTTTTGACCTTCATAGACACTAGGCATGTATTCCTGCAAGTTGGAACATTCTATGCCATCGATCGATAATGGATCCTCGACCAGAGTGACACTGTCAAACATGTTTCGAATGCTAACCGGATACACTTTACAACCGGCTACAATTTCTTCGATTTGAACACTTTTCTCTACTATCACCTCGTAGGCGGTGTAATCCTCGAACGCTTTCGATTCGAATCTATCGAATGCTTTCTGGTTTTCAATGATTTCTTGTTGATTGGGCAAATGATTGTTTCGTTTTTTGGCCAAGAATCGAGCATAAGTTTCGTTAAACTCAGGAAATAGTGCTATCGGATAAATGAAAGGAGTGACAGTCAATGATACAAACAGAACATATACCTGCTAGTTGTCTAGGAGTGAAAACATTGGCCGCACAAATAGTGATGGCGGGCAATTCATTCAGGACATCCGGTTGTTCATTGTAGATCGATATGGTGGTTTCATATTTATAATATTGTTTGGCAATGATTGCCATGAACAGCAGACATACGACCGATGTGATGGTTAAGATCACAGCCCATATCAATGTTTCACCATTGATTCGTTTGATTGCAAAACCAGTAAAAGCATTGCATTTGTCTCTCCTAATAAAAATCATGTTTCTGCATATGTCTGTTTGTTTCGGAAATCAGAATAACTATGAGACATTTGATTGGAAATGGACCATATTTATTATTGCATAAATCAATTGAAAATGGCACAATCATCATTGGACAGATGGTCCATCAAACACAAACACAGAAACAACAATCAATCCATTAGTAGTCAGGGATTTCTTGATCGTTTAAACAATATGTAAAGACAGCATAGTATTCCACTAAATTGCCGAAGACGTATGACACGGATAATGTAGTTGAATATTTCAACTACCGATATGCCTAGCCATACATGTAGATGACCACCGATATTGCCAAGAAATGTTTCCAAAGACGTTGCTTCCACATGTTCAATCAATTGGGATGGTTCATTTGAACGGAACAAAGTTATTGATGTTTGATTGTATGGTTCGCTATTCACTTTGGTCATCGTGAACCATCGGCGTAGACAAGATGGACGACATTTTCGCGTGCAATCGTCCAATTGTTTCCAGTAGCCAAAATGTTGACAAGCCATATGTTTGAGCGAACAAAAAGGCATCATTCGAGTATGATTGTATTGTAACCAACGACGGATCCATTGATCAGTGAGTAGAGAGTAATAATTGATGCATTCTTCATTCAGATGTCCAGATAAACAATGAACAAAACATTCGCCTGATGAACGAAATCCGTTTGGTAAGGGAGCTAGTTGACCATTCCAGTTGACTAATTTGTCGTCCAATGTATAATCATAGCCTTCGAAGCAATTTGTATCGAATGGAGATGGTTTAAGTTGTTCGATTTTTTCGCCATAAAAAATAGCCATACTATTATCGGGCAGCACAAAACGGATACTGTTCTCCAGCATGGAAGGTAAATTTTTATTATCATGTATCATGGCGAACAGAGACGATGCATTGCTTCGATTCTTGTCGATGTGATCCATGACAAAGGAAAATTTGGTTCCATTCTTTTTACGCATCAGCTGTGGTGACAAAATGATTTGAACAGAAGGAAACATGTCATATTCTAAAAATGGCCGTTTATCCAACGGCAATCGACTTAAATGACCATAAATGTCGGAAAAATAGGTGAAACATTTGTGACCATATTGGAAACTGGTGACAACCGGTGCGATCGATTCACAATCAAAGACAGGCATCGATTCGTTGACAATAATAATAGTGTTGGAAAAGAGTTTACATTGTTCTACTACTTGTGACAAAGCAAGCGAATTAATCGTTAGTGAACCATTGTGATTTTGATGATGCAAGTTTAGATCAGTGTCCAGAAAATAATCCATATTTTCATCAAAACCATTCAATTTGCTAAATAATGATTAAAAGATTGACTTGATATTACTCAACTATAATGAAAACGAAATACTATACTATAGATAACTCACAGTCGAACACACAATGTAATGGATGGAATATTGACCAAAGTGGGTGTGAGGAATTCCATGTTCACCACAGTCTTGTGTGTGACATATTCAATCCATACTTTGTTCGAAGTGATGAAAAAGAATGGAACACAACAGCCAATGAACATAAGACGCCATACATTGTTCTGTCGAAGGTAATGTAATCGAGCAAGATGTACATTCTGCCGAAATGTCAGACGTTTTGTATCCAAATTATGATGTCGCCGTGGACAGGGCTCCAAACGCTGTGCTGGTTGATAAATCACGAATATGGGTGGAGGCTTTGAACATTGTGTTGATGATGATGATGATGACGATGATGACGATGACAATGATGAGGAATTGATCGAAATGCCCGAAGTAGATGAATCGGATATCGTAGACGATCGCCTTGACATTATTTTCGACTTGAACTTTTGACAGCTAAATTGCTAATGATTTCTTTTATCATTTTCCACTTTTCAATGGCAATAAGCAAACACACAGGACAATCAATCAATCATCCATTAGTAGCCATGGATGCAAAGTGCCATGTTTATGGTAGTTCCAATTCACTATCATAATCTATGTCGTCATCAGCATCATCATCATCATCATCATCGCTAACTAGAATGCCGATTCTTTCGCCCACAATACGTACTGTTTCGAGCACTTTCTCTTTTACTAGGTTAAGCGACATGGCTAACAATGCCATACCAAACAGCAGATACAGAGCACATATGGCCAATGTCATTTGACCATCTTCGTGTGTTGACAGAACAGTTCGGCCTGGTACTAGATCGCCAAAGCCGATTGTCGACAATGTGATGAAACAAAAGTATGATGCGTCAAGAAAAGACCATTCTTCCGATGTGGAAAAGAACCATGCACCACCACAGATATAGCTTATGACCAAAGCTAAACATACTGTAATCGGTATATTTTTCTCCTGAATCTCTTTGTTTTCGTTGTCAATGTCAGAATCGAGATCATTGTGTGATCCATCATGTGATTTATCCTCACTTGGATCCGATATGTCCATCGGTAAAAGGGATGGCCTCGGGTGTGAACTATACAATTGGCCTGTAGGCTGGAATGTGGTGGTGGTGGTGGTGCTCATATGATGGTTCATTTGCATCAACATCATCATGTCTGACGATGGTATTGATCGTTGTTGTGTTGGCTGTTGATAGGATGATGTCATCAGATTAGATGATGAAGCTGATTGTCTGATGGATGAGGATGGCTGTGGTGATTGCAAGGAAGTAGGCTGTTGTTTTTGACCAAAACGAACCTGTGCATTGAGTTGTTGCTGTTGACGGCATCTTGCCATTGTACCGCTGTCGGCTGTCATTATAGTCAAGAAGAAAAATGAGAAAAAGTGGTCAGTTTGATGGAAAAGCCATTTCTTACTCACCCATTGAACTGGATCGAAACACACTAGGCCTTTTGGACATTGAATTGGAAGCTAGTACCGCTCGATCTAAACGTTCATCGCTATACGAAGCATACTGATTGCATATGACTGGTGGCATATTGACGGTCGTCTTTCGAACCGGAACTAACTTGGATGATTGAGCCAATTTACCTGCACGTGATTTTCTAGCACGTAATTCATTGTGATAACGAGCCGATAGTGATCGAGAAAGCATCATGCGTTCTGGTAGTTGCAATGTATTCGACAATGAATTGTGAGTTTCAGTTGCAGCCAACGATTCTTGTGGTTGCTGATTCCTGAGCATGGAACATTTTTCACTCTGGCGACCGTCAGATCGTTGTGAGGATCGTGAGCGGCTAATTCGTTGTTGTAACAATGATTGCTGTGGCCCAACCAGATAGTTTGGTCCATTCGATAATAGCAATGGATTCATGGCCATAACGGTCTCATGGATGGTAGCTTGCTGTTGTTGTTGTCGAGCACGACGACGTCGATGTTTTTGTATCTGACGTTGACGCCGCCGTCGACGTTCTTTTTTAGGCTTGACACAAAGATAGCAACAACATTTCCAGTAGATAAATTTAAACGAACGGGCCATCATGTGACCTATGTTGGATAGACAGAATAGCATCAAGGGAATCCCAATTATAGCGTACAGGATGGTAACCACCTTTCCCCATTCTAGACATACAGGTAAATCAATCACATCAATTTATCGATAACAATGACATAACAATGGACTACTTACCTGTTCTAGGAGCCACATTACCATAGCCAATGGTGGTGATAACTATAATCGAGTAGAGAAGTGCACCAGAGAATGACCATTGGGAATTGGTTTTGTTCAATTCTTCATAGCCATCGTAACCTTTGTATTTGACAGCGTGTAGGAATCCTTTTTCGAATTCGATAAGAATATCTTCGGCTCTTCGGGTCCAATTGTCGAATCGAAGAATGATCGATTCATTGGTCAGATTCGATAATTTTTGTATGAGTAGATCACGTGATTTCCGCATCTCAATACGTTGTTCTTTTTCGTGAACCGATTCTAATGCCTGAAACGTAAACGCACCGACAAGAGCATAGCCCAAGAGCAACGTACAGAGACCAATATGCGAGAATAGAAAAGTGACAACCTGACGGAAATAATAACAACATTTACCACATGTAGTGCTAGCAGCCGCCCCACGTTGACTACCGGTTGTTGAACCAACACCGGAATTACCGGCCGCAGCGATCGGTCCACAGCCAGCAGCTGATGCACGATTTGTGGATCGTTTGACCATTGTTGTTGTTTTTTTAAATAATGATCAATCGTTCATTATGGTTGATGGTTGACAACAACCACCACAACAGCCATCGATGATACGTGATTTCGACTGTAAGTGGAGAACAATTTTGTGGCCGTGAACAATTTTACAATGAAGAATGTCGATGCTATGCTTGGATCAAAAACGAGCACATGTTCATCATCGAAATCGAGAAACGGTTTGATTTCTATAAATAACAATAATCAAAACAACTAGAGTCGATTGTTATTGCTCAATTGATTGTTGTGGTTGTTTGCACTTTCTTGTTGTCTCACAGTTCATTTCATTCATTGTTTTTTTCTTTTTTTCTCTCTCTCACACACACCCTATCTTTGATTCGAATTTAATGGCTTTGTTCGAAATTGATGTAAACACAGATCCATTGCACACACACACACACAAATGGATGAGAATTTCGATCCAAACATGAATATGAGCCAAACACACAGACATACAGAAAACGTAGATCACATTGAATGATGGCCACACACACACATATAGAGCAATTGAATAATAACCGATATCTGTTTGTTAGAATTCGATTCGATCGCTTCGAATATCAAAATCGAATAGGTACTGATGATGACGATTACCACGATGTTAGTGATCATCATCCAAAGGATTTTGGCGTGTGTGTGTTGATCGATCCGCCCCTACTCGAACTCTTAAAAATGGTTATGATATTTATTTTCATTTTTGAAAATAAAATTAAAAATAGAATCTTAACTCACGCATACACACACACACACACACACACATAGAATATATGAGCTCAAGACAAATTGAAAACCTATCATCGCCCACATCATCTTTTTGCGTATCTGGTTGCCTAATCTAGGAATGTTGATTTTTCTTTTTTCTTTCTTTCTGTCTGTCTGTCTGTCTGTCTGTCATTCCGTGTCGAGAGAATCCATTGTTTTATTTTCAAATTCGATTCTTATCCAACATCATTGTGCATCGGATTACAAAGCAAAATTGAGTCAGTTAACCAATGATATTCAATATGCCAGAGAGAGTGGATCACATCATTTCACATTCATTCACAGTGGTATTCAACCGTAGGGCCATATTGGTAACAAATAAAAAGTTTATCAATGAATGAATTGTTAATCATTACTTGTAACAAAATTGTACATGATTGAATGATTTAGATGATCAGATAACAAGAAAAAACTTGGTGAGTGATTGACAATTTACTTGCACTTAATGGAGACTATCAATCACTTGAACCATGGGTATGATCATACTTTTCCATTTCACTGCTCCATCCCATTTGGGTGTCTTTTCGATGATCGGATCACATTTATCAGATTCATCTGCATAATCACCACATAAAAAATTGAATGAATCCCCACTGTAGCCTCGTATTATGGAATCAACTTCTTGCCGATATTTTGGACAGGTTTTCTCAACGTGTTCCAATGTTTGAGTCGTATATTGACTATAAAGGCTAAAGAATCAATGAGAATGAGAAATTCAACTAAATTCATCAAATGAATCAATCTATTACCAACAAGCCATCGGAATACGAAGTTTAGCATCCGGATATTCACGAATTGCATGCAAGTCTGCTGATGCATTTCTAAGTAGATCTCCATAATAACGAAAATTTATTGGACCAGAACATTGGATAAGATCGATAAGTGCTTTTTTTCTCGCTTCTTTCGTACAATAACGTTTATTCACACGACTAATGCCGTACATAAGAATGGATAACGTTTGTTTCGATTCTTTTTGCAAACAATTTTCAGCAAATTTCCTGGTACATCGTTCATATCGGCGAATCTTACCACAATAAACATTAAACTGGGCAATCGTTTTAGGCGGACGTCGAATAATTTCCGAATTAGTTATCGGCATCAGATTCAATGAACATTGATCAGCTTTTTTGTGATCACAATCATATGTTGCTGCATCTATCCTGAGCACGGCTACAATGATAGCCGAGGATAACATTAATGTTAACATAACAAATGTAAAAATGATATATCTCGTCAACTTGAACAACAAAAAATTATGTCCAAAACAAAATGTAGCCATGACCATTGCCTTTTATAGATTTTGAGATGCGGACTGACCAACGGAAAGAGTGGTTAGTCGGGGCAATAACACACACACACACACACACACACAAGACAGCTCACCACTTTCATTGATTGATTGATTTTCGAAAGGAAATCCACAATGCCATTGGTGATTATGACGCACATTTTCGGAATACACAAACAAAAGAATGAATATTTATTGGAAACAAAGTTTTTATTATTATTTTCACCATGCATTCATTCATGCTTAGTGAAGACTATCCACTATTTTAACAGAAGGTATGATGAAACTTTTCCATTCGAGCGGCTTGTTCCATTTCGGTAATCGTCCGATTATTGTATCACATTTATCTGAATCATCTGTATATTCAGTGCATCCAAGTTTTATTACATCACCAGTTGCTGATTGTAATATGTTTTCAATCGTTTCAATATGATTACTGCATTTAATATCGATCAAGGACAATGTCGATTCTTTTCGTCGTTGATATGCGCTATATATCATCATCATCATCATCATAATTATGATGATAATCATTGAAAATGGTGAAATATTCACATGAATTAATGATGACGATCATCCGATCATTCATTTACATATCGATTGCACTTACCAACATGACAATGGGATACGTAGATTGGCCGGTTTGATTGTCGGTATGGAATGTAAATCACCGGATAGATCAAATAATGGTTGAGCATACTTACGTAAATCGTTACCAGCACATTTAAGGAATTCAAGTAGATCCTTTTTAGCCCTTACGCTGCCACAGTAGCGTTTAGCCATTTTCGAAATACTGTATGACATGATTGAAAATACACGACGTGATTCAGATTGTAAACATTGTTGTGAATACTGCCGTACACATTCTATTGATTGTTTAAACTTTCGACACCAATAATTCATTTGGCTCATATTTCTGGGTGGGTTCTCTAACAATTCTGGATCTGTCAATGGCACCATTGCGATTGCACATTTATCCACACGTTCGGGATCGCATGAACCCTTTTTCTTATTCAATGATGATGATGATGATGATGATAGTTTCTTATTTGTTTGTCCATCGATTATCGATATAGAAATAATGGTATTCAACCAGAATAGCGATAACAGCTACAAAACGATAATAGATTGCCATGGTCATCAGAATATTCACAAAATGGGACATGACATATAGAAGCACTCATCTCTCGTTTCCGTTTATATATAGATGAGATGAGATGAACAGTAAAGAGAATGATGTGGAGAATAATTTATCATTCATTATGCACTTGAATAGAAAACCTGTATCCATTATTGAATTCAATCACAAGTTTGTCTCTATCTGCTTGCGTCAATGTAAATTCATTATCAATTTTTGATCTGTGAAACAATTTTTCCCTTTTAGAAAAAAATTAGTAATTTTCCATCTTTTTTTCTGAGATTTTTTTTTTATTTTTCACAATATAAATAATCATCATGTTTACATTTTAAAGACTTTCGACAATCTGTACGACTGGGAGGATAAAACTTTTCCATTCTAATGGTTTGGTCCATGGTTTAATTTTATCGATAATGTATTGACATTTATCCGAGTCTTCGTTATAATCGCCACAAACATAATTGAATAAATCACCCGTAAATCCTTGTAACATTGTTTCCATCATTTCCACAAAAGTTGAACATTTATGTTCCAATAAATTTATCATCACCTCTTTTCGTCGTTGATAGCCACTAATAGATCATTAAAGATAAGTTGAACAGGTTATTTTGTTATTTTGTTATTTTATTTTGTTTGAAAGAAATCTTACCAACAGCAAAGTGGAATACGCATGTTAGCCGGTTCGATCGAACGTATTGCATGCATATCTCCTGATAGTTCGAATAAAACCTCTGAAACATTTGTCAAATCGTTACCAAGACAATGGGATAGATTGAGCAATTCTTGTTTGCGTTTTGTTTGGCCACAATAACGTCGCAATGTTTTGGATATACTATACAACACTATGGATAATGTACGTCGTGATTCACTTACCAGACATTGATCGGAATATTGCCGAACACACTTTTCGGATCGTTTGAATTTTCGACACCAATGATCCAAATCGGCCAATGTTTTTGGTGGTCTTTGCAATAATTCTGGATCGGTCAATGGTACCAACGATATGGCACATTTATCCACTTGTTTCTTATTACAGATGTTGGTTTGATTTATATTTTTTTGTCCAACATTTCCAGTGATCGACAATTGAATTTGTAACATGAAAATAATTCCAGTGATTGCCACTGTAATCAACGATGATCGTAGAGATTGTATCGACATTTTTCCGACGAAATCCGAATCCAATTGAGATAAATTGAGTTAAACTTGTTGACTCTTCGAATCATGAATGCAATTTATATATGGCTTGCAGCCTCATTTTTGATTCGAAAAATTCCGTTGTCACATGAAGAACTGGATTTATTTTGCAAAGAAAAATAAAAATTTTCACAAATTATTCCTATAATGATTATGTGATCTTATCACACATCAATGCTGGTGATGTTGATGAATTAATATTCTTCATAATGCATCATCATGATGATGATGGAAAGGTGGTGGTGATTGGTGATTGAAGAAACTAAAAATAAAAAAAAAATTAAGCACTTGAACACTTGGAAGCTGTCAACATCAATATCACTTTTAACCACTCCATCTTTCATTTCCGAAGAAGTGACTATCGTCCAGGTTTCTTCTTTTTTTTTTTGCATCAAGTGTGAGTTGATAATAAATTTTGTTCACAATTTTCTAATTTATTGATTAGCTGATTGATTGATTGATTGATAAGACAGCAAAGCACAATTTTTCTCCACTATCTCCCTCAATCACATTCTATTCTATTATATAGATTTGATCTGTTCATTGACGTTTGTAATTAAATTTAGATTGCCATTTCAAGGTCAACATCATCATCTTTCACGACCAACGACAACGACGACGAAAAAAATTAAATGGAAATCATTAAATCATTAAATTTTTATTTATTTCGTCAATATTTCGAATTAATTATTGATTATCATCAAAGTTGATTAAAATTTTTCCCGCAAAAACAGTTGATACAAAATTAAAATAAAAAACCATTATAAACGGCTATAAAGACATGATAAGATCGAAATAGTGGAAATGGTAAAATTTACCAAAACATTTGATCGTTCTGTTGATGAAACCATACAATATCATCATCATTCCAATTTTAATTCTGAATCTGAATTTTAATTTACATCTCTGAAAATGACCCGTCGGGCTCTGCATTATGTTCTCAAGATTGGTAATCGTGCCAAAAATGTTCAATTTTTCCGTGATTTACTCGGCATGAAGGTATCCAGTTTGTATTGATGATTATCATTTGTTTTGCCATTCAATTGATTGTTATCATTATGTTTAAGGTACTTCGCCACGAAGAATTCCACGAAATGTGTGAAGCACAATGCAATGGACCATATGATGGGAAATGGAGTAAAACAATGATCGGATACGGGCCGGAAGATGAACATTTTGTGCTTGAATTGACCTATAATTATGGTATTGGCAATTATAAATTGGGCAATGATTTGCAATCGATTCGCATCGAATCCAAATCAGCGTATGAAAATGTCAACAAACAAAAAGACGTTGTATTCATGCACAAAAATCCTGAATGTATCGTTCTCAATTCACCAGATGGTTACCTGTTTGAAGTATTCAATCCTGATCATGATCGATCATCGATAACCAAAGTGTCGTTATCCACAACAGACACTGAGAAATCTAAAAATTATTGGCATGGATTGTTGGGCATGAATTTATTGGAAGGAAATGAAAAAAGTTTTATCGCATCTTTCGGTGATAAAGACGCCCGTTTGGAAATGGTGCTGACAACCGGTAATCAACCGGTACGTCATGAACAAGCTTATGGACGAATTGCATTTGCATGTCCTGAATCGGAATTACCCGAAATACAGGAACGAATGGATGCCAATAAAGAAACTATTCTGACAAGATTGATCAGTCTTGATACACCGGGTAAAGCAACCGTTGAGGTAGTCATCCTTGCCGATCCAGATGGTCATGAAATTTGTTTTGTTGGCCAAAAAGGTTTCGAACAATTATCAAAAGTCGATCCGAAAGGCAATGATCTATTGGAGGAAGCAATGGCAGCGGATAAAAGTGATGAATGGTTTGAAAAGCGTGGAACTGCCAAAGAAAAACGTGAATGAATCAATTTTAATATGCATGAACCGATTACGAAAGACTTTATTAAACGTTTTACATATCGACGATCACAATCATTGAATTTATTGGCTGATTGATAACGAGAGAATCATTCAACATTGAATATAATTTGAAATGGCCAAGGTAGCGTTTGTACCACCAAAACCAAATGAATTGGTCAATGCAATTCGTTGATCATCATTCCATTCCAGACATTCATTTCTCGCTATTCTAACTTCATCGTCAATAGGGTTGTCCAAATTGAGTGTCGGTGGAATTTGCCCATGATAACAAGCAAGGAGCGTGAAAATAGCTTCGGCAGAACCCGATGCCCCAAGTAAATGTCCGGTTGATCCTTTCGTTGATGTTATTATTAGCGATTTTAGCGTCTGCTCAAATAATTGTTTGATGGCCATCAATTCGATTTGATCACCAAGCGGTGTCGATGTTGCATGGCAATTGATATGACCAATTTTATTGGCATCAATTTGGGCGTTGTTCAAAGCATTCAGCATCGAATGTCGAGCACCACGGCCATCTTCACTTGGTGCTGTCACATGATGTGCATCGGCAGAGAGACCATAACCTAGAATTTCACCAAAAATTTGAGCTTGACGAGCACGAGCATGTTGTAATTCTTCCAGCATCAGAATAGCGGCCGATTCACCCATAACAAAACCACAGCGATCACGATCGAACGGCCGTGATGCTCGTTCCGGTTGATCATTGTGTCGGGTGCATAGTGCTCGAATACGACAAAATGATGCAAGTGATAGCGGGTGTATGGGCGATTCAACTCCACCTGCCAACATTATATCGGCATGATTCAATCGAATAAAATTGGCTGCATCGCCAACGGCATGTGCACCGGTTGTACATGCAGTCGATACCGTATGATTTGGACCACGAAATCCCAATTCCATACTGACGAAACCGGCCGGTATATTCAACAGAATTTTCGTTATAAAATGTGGACTAACGCGGCTGTAACCATTTTGTCGTAAACGATCACCAGCTTCGATTACGTCTTCGAAATTAACCATACCGGTACCGATAGCCACACCACATCTTTGAGCTTCTTGTTCATCTTTTGGTCCAGACCAACCAGACGAATGTAACGCTTCACGTACAGCAATCAATGTGTATAAACTGGATCGAGAATATGTTCGTAGTTGATTTTTCGTAAATGTATCAGCCAGACATTCATCGATGTCGGGAATGTAAGCGGCAATTCGACATGGAATATCATCTGGATATCCATCCAGGTTTTTCACTTTTCGAACACCTGATTCACCAGACACTAAATTTGTCCATGATTTTTGGACACCGATGCCTAATGGAGATATCAGGCCGATTCCAGTTACGACAACACGGCGATAATGTCGTCGAACATTTGTCAGATGAGGAATTTGATTTGCCAAACAAAGAATCTTTGAACCAAGCATGATTGATTTGTTGGGAATCGGTCGACAACAGTGCCATCTATTATTGTGATTGAAATTCATTTTTCAATTTCATTGTATCCACTGGATTGATTGAATTGAATTGAATTATAGTCATTAGTTTGGATTCTTTTTGGCTGTCTATTTTTGTTCTTTTTTTTCATTTAACCTAATAAATTTTGATTTCGAAACCCGGATTCCTTGTCCGTCTGTCACATGATATGATATCATTTTCGTTTAGTTTAAAAAATGAAGCGATTCTGTATATCAAGGCCACATCAGAGAATCGAGAATGAATTGGATACATTTGTGTGTGTGTGTGTGTGTGTGTGTGTGACAAATTGATGTAAAATGAACGAATTTTTTCTTTTAGCTATAGCTAATTGCTTTTTGTAATCTAATTTTAACACTATCTGTTTCGATTCTTTTCTTCTATCTGTGGTTAGGTGTGTGTGTGTGTAACCATGAATTGAATAATCCATCATAAAGGCTCATTCAATACGTGAATGCCTGTGGTAAAATCTGATGATATCTGATCGGTTACGTCCTCTATGAACACAATGATGAGAACATTTGTTTTGTATTCGAAATTCCTTTGTTTTTGATTGTTGTCGCAATGTTCTTCGTAACATCGAAACTCAACATCAAGCATGAGAAATGATAAATGAATTGACCTTCATTTTGTTCAGCTTTTTTATATTTTTTCGAAATGTAAAAAATGAAAAAAAAATTTGCATATCCATTCACTATCATCATCTGCGAAAATCGTTTTGGCTTTGTTGCTATTTTTATAATTATTATTATAATTATCGTCATAATAATAACTAGAATAAAGAATTTACATTTTATATGCAGAACAATTCAATTCAATTCAATTTTTTTCGTGATGATAATGATTTCATACACATTCTCATTCAAATAAACGCTTCACGCCCACCATCAAGTCGCTGACGATGCTGATATATTCATTTCAAATCGAAAAAGAAAAGAAAAGAATTCAAAGAATCAAGATTTTTTTTCGCTATTGCTATAAAGATGAAAATTTTTGATGATGATGATGATGATGATGATGATGATGGCTGTGTATTGTATATTGGAATTAAATTTATAATATAAAATCTTGGAATTCAACTTGGTGTCGATAAATGGCGACTAAACCGAATAAAACAAAACGTACGAAAAGAATTTGATTGACATTGTCGCCAATGATATGATACGATGGATTTGGTTGCCAAATTCGCAAAGAAAAATTTGGTCGGCAAATAAAATTCTTTATCCTTCATAAATATATGATGATGGTGATGGTGATAATTAATGTAGCGAAACGGCAACAATTGAATTGTTGCCTTATTCATCAAGTTGGTTGAGTTACAGAAAAAACTTGTATCAAGCAATCGATTCATTCAAACAAGATTGGTATGTAAGATTTTCCTCAAGTTGTCTCAAGTTGTCGTTCGATTATCTTGCCAAAGTTCAATTGTGCAATTCATGAATTAGGAAATTATTCAATTCTCTACTTGTGTGAGTGTTTGAGGGTGACATTCACACAAAATGTTTATTACTTTATTCTATGCTTTTGTGTGTGAGTGTCATCGATATGATTAACACTTTAGATGTCACCATATAGCATCCATAGTAGAAAATCAATGTTGTTTGCTCAAGTTGATTTTCATAAATATGAATTTATGAATTTCTCGATTTCGAGCAAAATTTTTGTTTGTTTTTGAATTAGGACAATCAAATCCGAATGCGTGTGTGTGTGTGTGTTTGTTGTTATTATTTTTATTATTGAAAAATGATCATCATAGCTTAGCTTTTTTTTGCCGATGATAATTAAATCGTTCGGGTACTTTTTTTCTTTCATTCATGATCTAGTTGTCTTTTTTTTCGTTTTTAAAACTGACTGACTGACTTGTGAATGATGTGAACATTGAAATTCCTGTAAGAAAATGTTGGAAAAAGATTCTTCTTGCTGTTGTTGTTGTTGTGGCACCAACATTATCATTCATCATGAAGTATGATGATTTCTATTATTATCATCATCATCATGGATGGATGATGAACAAGTTTTTTTTCCTTGTTCGGTGATCCAAACCACAGTAAGATGATGAAAGGATCGTACATTCTCAATGAGAGGATGCCAACATTTTCAGAAAGAAAGAAAACGAGAAAAGGGGCCTTCAAAAATTCATTTGATGTGTGTGTGTGTGTGTGCCGGGTGAACATGATAGTAATGTAAAAAACTGTTCATCTTTTATCCATAAAGAATGCTTGTGTATTATGACACACACACACACATGTATGTACTACATGAGAGAATTATCTGACTGACTGAGTCGATTCTTGATGATGATGACTTGAATAAAATATCATCATCATCATCATATATAGTGCAGAACCAGTGGGGTGTTTTTTTCGCTTTTTGTTTTTTCTCTTTCTCATTTCGGGCCATTCGAATCTAGAAAAAAATTCTGTTGTCTCTATGATAATAATATTGTTACCATTGTTCATTGTTGTTGTTGTTGTTGTTGTTCTGGCAACTAGTTAATAATAATTTTTCTTTTTTGAATATCATTACCTCGACTTTCGAATGTGTAGAATTTATTTCCATTAACATTATGTTAAGCTTTTGAGAATTCTTTTCATGATGATAGTGGTTATGATGATAGGCTAGGCTTTTCTTTTTTGGCGACAAATTTCACATTCTCTTCATATGTGTGTGTGTGATGAATTTTAGACATCATTGTCGTTGGTGTCGCGGAAAATAAATCCAGTCTATGTTTGAATGTTTGAATCGATCGGCTGATTTCGTTCTCTGACGAATAGTTTGTTGGCCAGGTTTAATCTTTGGTTTTTTTCTGGCACATCATCATTGATGATGAACATCATCATTGATTGATTCCATCACATTTTCTGCTATATTTCCATATAGACTTGTGTGTGTGCAACAAGTGTGTCTTGTGAACAAAATCTGAGATCGTTCATTCGATCCAGATTCCGATTGGTGTCACAAGTGTGTCTAAACCGGTAATAGTCAACGATCATTTCTCCTGTGTTCTTTGTTTTTTGTTTTGTTTTCGATCCATGCAAATTTGAATCTAAACATCAGTGTGTTAAAGGTAAGAGATTTTCCAATATTCAACACACTACATTTCATTTGTAATGTTTCATGGATTAGCCAAACCATTTTCCAATTGCTATAATTCTAATTCCGAATGATTAATTGTTTTTCTGTGCATGCATCACACATTTCAATACACAACCACAATTTCTATGAATTGATTGATCGACTATTGATCAATCCAGTTGTTTGTAGATTGTTTTTTCTCCATTGCTTGTTACCATCTTGATCGATCGTACAATCGCCCACCCACATTTGTTCGAAAAAAAATTCTGGCACCCGATTCTTTGTTCTTGCTCAATTTTTTTTGTTGTTTTGTCTTTCTTTGTAAATTCGATTTGACAACGACGAAAAAAACAACAAAAAAGAGTTTGTTTTGCTTGACAAAATTGAGCCAAAAAAATATTCATGTTGACCTCGAATTCAATCAACCAAATTCTGTCGGTGTATGATTTGAATGCAACACACACACACACAGAGAGAGAGAGAGAGAGATATGATTTTTTTTGAAGGACATTGTGATGGCTGCTAGCTTCATTCATTCGTTCATGGCATTCACTTTGTTAATTTCAATTTCATTTCTGGTTATCGATGATCACATTTTTCAGCTTTTTTGCCAACATACACACACAGACAGAAACAGAACTAAATACGTGATATGCGAGATAGTTGTGACGCAAATGTCACACCGTTATATCTACGTCATCATCATTATCATGTCAATCATAGAACCATTTCTTTCATTTTTTGTTGATGAGATTTTAAGATTCGATTTTGAAACAAATTTCTAATCATCAACGATGATATTGATGGACTTCATTCTGATTCATTCATTAAGGTATTGAATAACCAATCTATCTAATCATTGAATCAGTACGCGTTTGAAATTGATACATTTTCTATCATGCCGTCATTTCATTTAACTATCAATTTAGATCAGAATTGACTACAAACGACAAACATGACGACGATCATGTGTGAAATGACCAATGACGAACGACTTTTGTCTAATTCTAATTCCAAGTGGATAATGGTATGTTATGGCTGCCATAGCAAAGTGGAATATATTTTCATTTCCTCATATTAGGTAATGACGCCGACCCGTTTGTCATTGTCGAATCTCTCTCTCTCTCTCTCTCTCTCTGTGTGTGTGTGTGTGTGTGTGTTTTCCCCTTTTTCTTTTTTCATTCATTCACCAATGAATGGATTCTGTTCTCGTCTGAATTTGTCATTTTTATTTTTAGTTAGTTTATTATAGGAATTCATTACAACTCTTTTTTCCGTGAAAAGAAAAAGAATGTGATTTCTATAAAGGATTCTTGCTTAGTACTGAAGTGAATAAAAAAGATTTCCATCTAAAATCATCTTTGATCAATCAAATTCAAAAAAATGCCATCTTCAATTGTCATCTTCAATCACTAGATGGCGAATCATTCTAATAAGGTAAATGCACTGCCATTTGTTGTAACAGTGCAAATAATGGAATGATGATGATAATGAGCCGTCAATTGCCACCGGTTTCATTCGATGCTACTACCACATTCAGTAAGAAAGAAAATTTCTGGCTGTTAAACATACGTGTTGTTACAAACACACAACACGCATTTTTTTATTTATTGTTGGTGGATAATATAAAATTATTGTGAATTGTGATTTTCTCCCATGTTCATCTTCGGTTCGATCATCATCATCATCAAGGATTCTCCATCATCATCATCATCACCATCATCGTCATCGATTGATCGAATGAATCGTCAGTTTTACTCTGTTTTGATGATGATGAATTACAAGTGAGAATTATTTATTTATTATTTTATTTTCTTATTATTCTCATTGGTTCGGTTCGATTCGATGGATCGGCTTAAATGAAATTATTTGATTGAAGAAAAGCAAATTGTTCATTGCATTCGATTTGACATCGAAGACCTTTATATTATTGTTGAACAACAAAGAAAATCATCAGCCAACAACATCACCAGATTGATAGCCTTTTTGTTTTCTCATTCAGAATTTTCATTGTGAAGTTCATTTGTGAAAATATTCAAACAAACAATACATATCAATTGAAACAGAGTGGTACTTAGCAACCGATGCCCATGAACATTGGTAAAAAGTGATCAAAATCTCGAAACCTGGGAAAAATCCACTTATGATTGTGGTCCGAATTTTCCGGCTATTTTTATTTTAATTACTTGAAAGATATATTTTTTTCTTCCAAAATCAAAAACGACGATGATTACCATCGATGATTGATATCTTGTGCTTTTGATTGATTTTATTAATTTCACACACACACACACATCATTTCGACCATAGAGGAATATCGAATTACTTTGATTGATGTAATCAACATCATTCATCATTCATATTATAATAATAACAATAACAAAAACGATAAAAAATTGTGAAAAATGGTTCATTGGATATATGGCTAGAGTGGAAAAAAGATTATCATGTGATCACTGTGTGTGAATTAAAAAGTGTATGGAAACAAAGAAAAGTGAATCTTCACCATCCACCAAATCACTACTAACTGCTTGTTAACAACAACCCCCTCCTCTCCACTTGTTCCACTTGTTATGCATCATTCATTCATTACGGTCATCGACACATTTGAAAATTTTATTGAAATTTATCAACATTTTCCGTTCTCTATAAATTCTCTCAATCAATGATGAATATAACACTATCGGAATCGTGATCAGCTGATTGAATTGATTGATTGATCTGTATAAAAAACAATCATCACTTTTTCTACTATTTTATATTTTATATTTATTATAATTTTAATTGGTGAAACATTCATTTCATTAGTTTGTGATTTTGTAAAATTCATCGAACTTCATACATTCATCACATAGGTTTTTTTTATTTGGAAAAAATTCTTTGTAAATTTCATATAAAAGACTGTTTTTTCGAATTTGACTAATCTTTTTTCTCTTTTCATTCGATGATTATAGGTAAATTTTGGAAATTTTTGAAATTTACTGCGATATATTGTTTTTATTCTCGATTGATTGAGATAGATAGTAGTAATCTATATTATATAAATTATAATTGTAAAAATGGAGTTGGCGCATACAAAAACATCACAAGAGGTGCTCGATTATTTTGGCGCCGATAAAGAACGTGGTCTTTCACTATCACAGGTGAAGGAAAATCAAAACAAATATGGTCCCAATGGTATGTTTAAATATGATGATTGAATTGTTGTTATTATAAAACCATTGGTTCACCACTCAACAGAGCTTCCGGCTGAAGAAGGTAAATCCATATGGCAGCTCGTATTGGAACAATTCGACGATCTTCTGGTCAAAATTTTGTTACTTGCAGCCATCATTTCATTTGTAAGTTGTTTGTTCTCAATCAATCAATCATCATTGCTATTAATTTTGTTTGTTAGATTCTAGCATTTTTTGAAGAAGATGAAGACACGATAACCGCATTTGTCGAACCATTTGTCATTTTATTGATTTTAATTGCCAATGCCGTTGTTGGTGTTTGGCAGGAACGCAATGCTGAAGATGCTATTGAAGCGCTGAAAGAATATGAACCCGAAATGGGTAAAGTAATACGTTCGGATAAACAAGGTGTACAGAAAATTCGAGCCAAAGAAATTGTACCTGGCGATCTGGTCGAAGTTTCAGTTGGTGACAAAGTACCGGCCGATATTCGTTTGATTAAAATCTTTTCAACCACACTACGTGTCGATCAATCCATTTTGACCGGTGAATCTGTTTCGGTTATCAAACATACCGACATGATTCCAGATCCACGTGCTGTCAATCAGGATAAAAAAAACATCTGTTTCTCTGGCACAAATATTGCCGCCGGTAAAGCAATGGGCATTGTCATCGCTACCGGTCTCGATACGGCCATCGGTAAAATTCGCACTGAAATGGCCGAAACAGAAGAGGTGAAAACACCGTTGCAACAGAAATTGGATGAATTCGGCGAACAATTATCCAAAGTTATTTCGGTTATCTGTGTGGCTGTATGGGCTATCAACATTGGTCATTTCAATGATCCAGCTCACGGTGGTTCATGGATCAAAGGAGCCATCTATTATTTCAAGATTGCCGTTGCATTAGCCGTCGCTGCCATCCCAGAAGGTTTACCGGCTGTCATCACTACTTGTCTAGCATTGGGTACCCGTCGTATGGCTAAAAAGAATGCCATCGTTCGTTCATTGCCTTCAGTCGAAACTCTTGGTTGTACATCGGTTATTTGTTCGGATAAAACCGGTACATTGACCACCAATCAAATGTCCGTCTCAAGGGTATGGGTCATACACACACATTGATAAATTTGATTGTTCCAAATTTTTATTTTATTTTATTTTGTTTCTAGTTTTTCCTCATTAAAAATGCTGAAGGAGGCAATCCTGAATTGGAAGAATTTGAAGTAACCGGCTCAACTTATGAACCAATTGGTGAAGTATTCCAACGTGGACAACGTGTCAAATGTTCAGATTTCGAAGCAATGTTTGAATTGGCAACCATATGTGTCATGTGTAATGATTCAAGCATCGATTTCAATGAATACAAACAACAATTTGAAAAAGTTGGTGAAGCAACCGAAACAGCGTTGGTCGTTTTGGCTGAAAAGATGAATCCATGGGAATTTGAGAAACGTGGCCTTTCACGTCGTGATGCTGCACTAGTCGTCAATCATAATGTCAAGAAAATGTGGAATAAAGAACATACGTTGGAATTCTCTCGTGATCGTAAATCAATGAGCTCATATTGCATTCCAAAAGCCAATACTAAACTTGGCAATGATCCTAAAATGTTTGTCAAGGTGAGAATTGTCAATCAATCGATGATTGCTGTGAATTTTACTAAAATAAAATCCATTAGGGTGCACCCGAAGGTGTATTGGATCGTTGTACACATGTTCGAGTCGGTGATCGTAAAGTACCGATGACAGCTGCAATCAAGAATAAGATCCTTGAGACAACACGTGCTTATGGTACTGGACGTGATACATTACGTTGCCTTGGTCTAGCCACCATTGATCATCCACCAAAACCGGAAATGATGGATTTGGCTGATTCATCCAAATTTGCTCAATACGAGGTATTTGTTGTTGAATCCTACATGAATGTGTGATGGTGATACTTTTGTACTTTTGATTGTTTAATTTTCTAGCAACAAATGACATTAGTCGGTGTGGTCGGTATGTTGGATCCGCCACGTAGAGAAGTGTTGGACGCCATTCAACAATGCCGAAAAGCCGGTATTCGTGTCATTGTCATCACTGGTGATAATAAAGCTACAGCTGAAGCTATCTGTCGCCGTATCGGTGTATTCGGTGAAGACGAAGATACCACTGGTAAATCCTATTCTGGGCGTGAATTTGATGATCTTTCCGTCAGTGAACAACGTGCTGCTTGCCGTCGTTCTCGTCTATTTTCACGTGTTGAACCAGCTCACAAGAGTAAAATTGTCGAATATCTACAAGCTGATGGTGAAATTTCTGCCATGACTGGTGATGGTGTCAATGATGCTCCAGCATTGAAAAAAGCCGAAATTGGTATCGCTATGGGTTCTGGTACAGCTGTTGCTAAATCAGCCGCCGAAATGGTATTGGCTGATGATAATTTCTCATCAATCGTATCGGCTGTGGAAGAAGGTCGTGCAATTTATAACAATATGAAACAATTTATCCGTTACCTCATCTCATCAAACATCGGTGAAGTTGTCAGGTAAACAAATGGCATTCTATTTTCTAACTTTGACTAACTTTCTCACTTTGAATGCTATGCATACAGTATTTTCTTGACTGCTGCTCTTGGTCTACCCGAAGCATTGATCCCTGTACAATTGTTATGGGTCAATTTGGTCACCGATGGTTTACCTGCCACTGCATTAGGCTTTAATCCACCTGATTTGGACATTATGGAGCGACCACCACGTAAAGCAAATGAATCATTGATTACCGGATGGTTGTTTTTCCGTTACATGGCTGTTGGTTGTATGTATTTTTTTTTTCTAAAAAGAAAAAAGAACAATCATTATATCTTTCTTATCAAATTGAATAGCATATGTCGGTTTTGCAACTGTCGGTGCCGCTGCATGGTGGTATATGGTTGCACCAGATGGTCCACATCTAACCTATTATCAATTATCTCATCATCTTCAATGTATCACTGATCCGGACAATTTCCGTGGTGTCGATTGTAACATTTTCCACGATCCACATCCAATGACAATGGCATTATCAGTATTGGTCACCATTGAAATGTTTAATGCTCTCAACAGGTGAGTTTCTTTTTAATTAAGTGTATCTAATTGGGTGTTTCAATTCGATTAGCTTGTCGGAGAATCAATCATTGTTCGCCATGCCACCATGGACAAATGTGTGGCTTATCGCTGCAATTACCTTATCGATGACATTGCACTTTGTTGTCTTGTATGTGGACATTCTTTCGGTATGTCATCCAAAATGATGATAGCAACGATTAGATGTTATTAATCTTGATTGATTCTCTTTCACTCAGGTCGTCTTCTCATTATGTCCATTGACAATATTGGAATGGTGGGCAGTGCTGAAAATATCGTTTCCAGTCATTCTGTTGGATGAAGTTCTTAAATACTTTGCTCGTAATTTTATCGATGGTAAACATTCAAAAACTGATGATGATAATGCTATGTTGGATGATGCTTTAATGGCCAAGGCTTCATCTTGTTATCCTACTACTACTCTTAATCCTTCTCCTTCTCCTACTTGCATTTCTTCCTTTGCTAAACTGGACAAAACTAGAACGACTAAACAAAGCGTTAAAGAATTGATCTTGTTGATCACATGTTGGCTATCATATTTCCTTCTATTATTGTCAACATCCAATGAATTAGCCGAATTAGTACCTACTATCGATTTATATTCATGTTTATTCACCGATTGATTCTATATTAACCAATTTCCATTATTCGTCTTTTCTGATACCCTACTTACTTTATTTTGTACGCAAATGATGAAATTATAATTGATGATTTAATCATTTTTACGAAACAAAAACTGATTCATCCTCCTCTCCCTTCCTTCCCACAACAACAACAACAACAAGAAAAACTGATGTTTCCCAAATGATTCCTGGTATTATTTGTAATTTGTAATTTGTCTGCTACTTTCTAATCTTTGTCTTTGTCTCTGTGTCTCATCCTCGTTACTTTAATTCATTTCACTTGTCATTCTTTCGAATTGGGCTGGTTTTTTCAAAACTTTTAACAAACTTTCACTATTCGCGTCACATTTGCTCATTTATTTTTTGTTGCATGTATTACTATAGTATAGTATAGGAAAAGTTTAAGTTTCTTATCCATGGTCTGACTGAATGCCATTACCACACTGGTGGTATATAAAAATAGCCTCAAAATGAATGAGTTGTTGATCATTTCATTCGAATTGTGTATGTTGATTGTCCGAGCGAGATTGTGATTGCATCAATTTCCTAGAAACTGGATTGGCTTACATGGTTGAATCAAATTAAATTCGATAGAGTGCAGCACGGTTTCAGTTTGCATTCATTTCTATCATTTCCTACCTGTGTTTCTTTTATTTTGATGTTATTTTTGTTCATTTTTTTAAATTTTATTTTATCCCTTATTTCATTTCTACCCATTTAGTTACTGCAAGCACGGACTCAGGATCGAAGAAACGAAACTAAAACCCAGAATTACAGACACACATGCACAGACACACAAAGATGAAAGATCCAAAGAAAATAATTGAACATTATCATCACAACACACAATGCAATAATCCAGTTCGTTCCCTTTTCCACGATGAATTTATTTAAATGAAACATGTTCGGTGTGTGTGTTTGTGTGTGTGTAGGGGTATGTGTGATCATTGCAATTTATTATTAATCTTATCTTATCTTATCATTGATTGTTATTATTACTCACATCCAAATTGATAATAATAATTGATAATTAATCGATATCTTTCAATCATCATCATTATTATTATTATTGAAACCCTGAAAGATAAAAACCCTCATTCGGTCATGTCACATATTTTTCAATCCTTTCCTTTCTTTTTTTGTTGATTGTTTGTGTTTTCTCGAATTTTACACACACACACACACACACACACACTCACACGCACACCCAATTGAATGTTTGTGTTTGATTGTTTTAAAAAATAGGTTTTTTAGATTATTATCCATCCGATTATAGAAAATTTTGTTGAATCGACCGACGACCACACCTTGCAATGTTGATTTGCTTTCTTCATAAACAACAAGTTCACCCGAATCCACACACCATATATACTCAGCGAGTCGGATTCTGTTTTCTTCTCGAATATTCTATCTATTCTGTCTCAATTTAGTGATGATTTAGTAAATTTATATATTCCCTATCCTATCGATCCGGATGACACACACACACACACACACACACACACACACACATATTCTAGGTTTTTAATGTGAAAAAAATTGTTATTAAACCCAACAAACAAAAAATGATATGTTCAAATTGCGAAAAAAAATTTAAAAAATGAATAAAACAAACCCTTGTATGTATGTATAATGTATACAAGAAAAATGTGTGCAACGATTCCTTCATCAATCCATCGAGCATTTTATTACTTCCTTGCTAATATTTTCCATTCAATTCATCCTTCACTTAATGAGCCATTCAAACGATGATGCTGAGTGTGGGTGTTCACAATAGCCATCTATAATATCATCATCATTATCGATTGATCATCCCGTATCCATTGATCGAATGGTCATGTATTGTATGTATGCACACAACAGGCAGGCACGTTTACGGATATCAAATCGAGTCATCTTTTGTGCGTGTGTGTGTGTCTGTGTTTATATTCGATTTACAACCTACCAACGTTGGTTAGCAGAAGATTTTTTTTTCATTTCATTTCCGTTTCTTTTTCATTCAACCATTATCGACAAATGTTTTGTCCAGCTGTATTATTATCGATATATCGATACTTGTTGTTCAATCAATACGATACACTTTATTTTTTACGCCGAAAATTATCGACTATAGCGCCGTTAATGAACTTTGATTTCATACGGTAATTGATTGGATATTCCGAAACACTTGTTGAACACTGATTGGAAACTTTTGATGATGATCATGATTGAAATTATTTTCATTTCGTAATTAAGATGCTCAACTCGAATTTGTCATTGATGAAACAACAAAATAATACGGAAATAAATTTATGAATGAATTTATTGTCAGTGGATCATTTGTGCTTGATTTCCTTGATTTTAGAAAAATTTAAACTGATTTTCTCTCATTTGAAAAATGAATTGATGTCGATTCGTTTTTCGTTTTGTTTTGTTTTGTTATTTTGTTTCATAGAGATGGATTTGATCTACTTTTACAGCAGCGGCAACTGATTATATCGATTTCAATTTCATTTCTCTATGACCTATTGATTGATCATCGATCGATCAATCACTCTTTAATCGACAAAGACAATAAAGATGATGATTCGATTTTTAATATCATTTTCAAAACGATTCAAGTTAATCGAATCTAATGAATGATAATGATGATCATCATTGAGCTATATATCATTGGTGGTCTAATTGGCAACTCATTTATTCAATGACTATGCCTCATCCACATAATCATTACCTTTCATTTTACACTAATTAGCCATATTCATTTTTTTCATCATTTAATCATTACATTCGTGACAATTTTTGAAACCAGTGCATGTGAGCATGTGAGCATGTGAATGAGCCCGATGGCCATTCTTTTCACTTTCTATTTTTGGGTTGTCAATTTCAATCATTCACTATCGATTTATACATTGTCAAAATGTCAAAATTTGATTTTGATTTTGATTTTTGTTTGAAATTCAATATAGCTCAGTCGAGTGATGTAATGACAATTTTTTGCTTCTGAATGATGCTGCTTGTTGTGGCCCTGAATACGCTGAATAATTGATGCATATTTTTTGTTAATCAATTGATTAATGGTCATGTTAAATAGTTGGAATTTTGCAAATGTTTTCACAATCGAATACTTTTGTTGAATTTAAGGTTGAGATCAACTGTGTTATTTGGTTTGATTTTCGTAAAGTGTAGGATTTTTGAATCCATAAAACAAAAAGCAAAACAAAAACAAGTATCAGCATCCATAAAGTTTGTCCTATTGTATTCTGAACAAAAAAAAAAATGAAACTGCACAATAACACGAACCAAACCAATTTAGAATCGAGGGGAGAGAAAAGAATTTTCCTGTCTCCTTCGTCCTAAAACTAATATAAAGTGGCATTCAAACAACAACAAACCCAACGTTTCAGGAACTTTTTTGTTGTTGTTGTTCCTTCATTGTGTCGATCAGATTTCTGCTTCTTATTACATGTTCTTTCTTTTTTTTTTTTTGTTCGAGTTTTCTTTTATCAATTCTTTCAGCCGTTTCGTTTGTTGGAAATATATGAATTCGTGTTTTGTGTATGGTGAATTGATGAAAGTTTTTTTGGGGCGAAACGAAAAATTCTGCCGAAATTCTCCGACATTGTTGTGGCCTATTCTGAACTCAGAACTACGAATCGAGTGATTGAAAATAAACTTTTTGAATTTTTTCTGGTTTAAGTGTGCTGCTGTATTTGTCACAGCCATGTTGATGATGATGAGTTGAAAAATGAAAAATTTTGTTATTGCTTCTTCCTCGAACTTGAACAATAATGGTCTTGCAAACAAATCGAAAATGGATCCAGTTTTTTTGTCCGAAACAAACACAAAGATTCTTGTCACCAAAAGCCATCAGTTCTCATTGTCATCTGTTTTGATCAATTTTCAAATCTAATTGACTTTCGATTCTTTTTTTCATTCACATTCATTCATTCATTCGTTCATGAGAATCGATTCCAATTTTATTTGTAAATTTCCACGGAATTTTCTCGGTGATCAAAAACATTAATTTGTTGTTAATGTTAATGTTTTGTTCTCGGTGCTCATTTTTTGGGCGTATTGGCCAAGACCTAGAAATTGGACCAAACTAAACAAACAGACAAATGATGATGATGTTCCACTTGAAACCTGGCTTTCGACACAACAACAAAACAAATCTTTTCAAGTTGAATGTCCTCGAATGTGAATAAAAGAACGGTATGAATAAACATGACTATCACATGACAATTTTTTGTCTTTTGAATGGACAAGGAAAATTATGGCTCATGTCATATATTCGACACATAGCATATAGCACCAACAGAGAAAGTCAATAAAATTTATGGCCATTACCAGAAATGAAAATAAATAAATTCTCCCGACTTTTTCATGCTTTCTCATGCTGGTTGGTTTTTTTCGCCCTTTTTTCTACATTTTTCTACACTTTCACATGTTTAAGCTTTGATTTTGTTTGTTTCATTTGTCGATTTTCCATCCATTTATTAGATGATGATGATCAAATTGTATGAATCTTTTTCTTTTCTTTTTTTAAATTTAGTATTTCTTCACGTGTTAACTTGATGCATATTTATGAATTGTTTATGGTTTTTTTTGTCCATGAAACATTGTTGTTAATGGCCATGGTTAAGTGATGTATTCATTCATTCATTCATTCATTCCCAATAAGTCATTCGATTGACCGATTTGATTTGTGAGTTGAGTTGAGGCGAGAAAATTAATTTTTAGCTGTTGTTGAAAAACTCGTGTTGTAATCACATGTTCATTCCATTATGATTTCTCATCTCAACCATTTCATAATCCATGTTGATGATTTTATGATGGACACAACGATGAACAACACAGTTTATTCGATGACAAAAAGGCCAAAATCGTTGTTGCCCTATAAGTAATAGTGATAGGATGAAATCAATCGAATGATTGTGATTGGCAATTTTTTGAATTTGCATTTTTGTTTTTCATCATGACCACAATTTAGTTTTCCACATCTATGCTTTGGCTGATTCGTATTCACTGTGATTGTAAATGGTGAAAAAAAACCAATCGATTTAGGTTTGAGACGAAAAAAATCAAAAGTCTTTTATCACCGATCCTTCCACGGCTAACTGATACGTTATATAGAACTATCACTTATGACAATAACAAATAATCAGTCGGACAATCTGATATATATCAATTGAATGTCATCGTTTTTTTGCCACAAAATTTAGGGTTTTAACACAGGTGTTTGCTCTGAAAGTGATCATTACTATTTCTTTCTGACCAAAATAACCTGTAAATTTTGGTCGAAATCTTTTTTGATTGGCCTCAAAATCAATCAAACCGGAAATGTCCTGTTGGTTGTATAATAGAATAAGAAAATATCTTCATGTATTCAAAAGTCTGTCTGTTTTGTCGGTAATTTTCATTCCTATTTTAGGATCAAACAGTAACAACAACAACAACAACAACAAAACCGATTTTTGTTTGATCAGAAAAATTAATTTCGATTGTTTCGACAAAAGAGACGAATAATCTGGGATAATCTCGGATTGTTTGTTGTTTAGGACACAATCCTCTTAGCAAACAGTTCACAAGGACAAGATGCTTGCCCATTTTGGGATTTGTGAATTTCTCTGATTCGAATAGGAAAGGAATAGTGTAACAATGGCCAATCCATACGTGTGTTGAAGGACAGTGAATAAAAATGGTTCACACCAATGACTTGGAAAAATGATGATGAACATGTTTGGAGCCAATGCAATTTCGTTTCATATACCACAATCGTTTGTTTTCTGGACATTTCAATTGAACGATGTCAATTCTCAAAGTACATGTCGCCAACGCACATGAACATGTTTTTGTTGCATACAAATTTGGAATTATTCACAGCGAAGAAACGAAAACCCCTCTTTGTGCTCCCCTTTCGAGCCAATTTGATGTCATGAATGTTTCTCTAAATCAAAGTTGAATATGTTGTAACTATTCAAATTGATCCTATTTGTCAATCAAATATTTAACAACCATAGAAACAAGAGAAATCAATCAACCGCATTGAATTTGTTGTTTTCTTTCTTTGGCTACATTTCAAATGTGTGTGTGTGTGTGTGTGTGTGTCTTGGTTTCGGAATTTCACCAAAACATTCAACATTGCAGGTGTATAATAATACAAGCGGCATTTCGTTTCCGTTATGTACTAATACAGATCAATTTCCATTCAATTTGATCTCATTCGACTTTGATCCACCAAGTTTTGCCAAAAATATTCAAATTTCCATCTGGCCAACACACACGATATTTCCATTTCAATGACGATGGAAAAATGGAAACAAAACAAAACAAAACAAACGAAATGAATGAATGAATGAATGAATGAATAAAAGAAAATTTTTCAAATCTTTCCTCACATACATCCACCCTCATCATCATCATCATCATCATCATCACGATTGGACAATTTTCTAAAAAGAAACAAAATTTACATTTCAAACGATGATGATGATGATGATGCTAATAACGGGGTAAAAAATAGATACAAGTTAAGGATGACAAATTTACGACACACAAAGCCGGGTGAATAAAGAAATCCTCGCCAGAGATAGGGAGAGAGAAAAGGATGGATAAAAGAAACAAGGTAGAACAAAGCAAACAAAACAAAAAAGGAAAGAAAGAAATTTAATTTAAATTCCAATTTTAAAATCGACTCTAATTGACGTCTTTTTGTTTTTTTTTGTTTTGTTTTGTTTTGTTTTGTTTTGTTTTGTTTCATTTCCCGTTCGTTTATTTATTTGTTTGTTTGTATCCATTTTGTATCGTTTATCAGTTGTCTATTATTGTGTTTGTTAATTGTAAATAAAAAGTGGCTTTGGTTCGACAAAATTGATGATGAAAAGTACGGAACTGTTTTTTGGTTACCTTTTCCACTCTGTTCAGCAAAATTCCTCTGTCCATGTTTTGTTATTGGACAAAAAATTCTTACAATTTCGATACCCGGAATTCAAATTTAAATAGCTTTTGTTTGATATACAGGCACAACAATGATAATAATTGGATCCGGTGAATTTCACCTATGATACCTTACTGTTGCCGAGCACGCGACTATACTCATCATCATCATCATCATCATCATTATACTAAGATTGTTGATTGTTGGCTAAATATAGCCATCTTTGCCCCATAATAGCGATGCGTTAATGATGATGATGAGAAAAATCGAAAGTACTATTTAGACAGAAACATTCACCGCATGTATGTGTGTGTGTGTGTGTGTGTATCATCTGTTTCTCGAAACAATTGTCGCCTCTGTTGGTTACGTTCGAATGAATACACACACCACACACAATGATATACAAACCGACCAATACGTTTGTTGTAACAAAAAAATGGTAACAATTTTGCAACCAGTATTTGTTCCTTGTTGACAATTTTGTTGTCACTGTCATTTCGAGTTTTATCACAATTATTCAATCAATACTTGACTTGGGTTTCGTTTTTTAATAATTCCCTCATCCGGAGAAAATTTTCATACTGATCATCAACTAATTACTAAAATCCTCACGTGATCGACCCAATTTTGTTTTGTAACAAATTAGAGTTCAATTAGTGCATTATATGATAAAGCTGAACATCTGTTGTTTGTCCAATGTATCAATTGTCACATGTGTGTGTGTTCAACCGAATGGTCAAAATGTAAATGGAAATGGCCAGTATTCGATAAGGTTCCAGAAATAGCAGTGGCAGCATTCGCTATAGATGTTGGTGGTCAATGAACCGAACACGCAGCAACGATGACAATTCATTCGATTGATGATGAATAATGGTGGCAAAAACCCGGCAACTATTTCCAGTTCATCATTCAATGATGAACGAATCGGTGAGTCAATTATTGGCTTAAATCAACTTGATTGAGATTTCCTTTTTATTTCTTGTTTCAGTGTCAATCGTCAATTTGAATTTCATCTCATTCTGAGTTTGACTGGCACCAACTTTGGATCTGAGATTCACAAAGCCCATCATTATTAAATCGAATATATGGCTTGGCCTTTTTTCGTTTCAATCCAATTGAAGCTGGGCGTCATTGTCATCTTTGAATTTATTGTAAGTTCCATTTTTTGATTTCGTGAGAATCTCATCTATAAAATGTAAAATTTCAATGATTTTATAATTGAAGAGTTTATCAACTGCACAATTAAATTTGTCATTGTGCAAATACAATCTCTGTTTTTGATTCATATGATGATCAACAACGTTTAATTCGTGATCATGATGATGATCATAATGGCCCACGCAATCAACACAATTTCGTGTCCATTTGGCTGGCCGTCGTTTTGTTGTTGTAGGTGTTGAATGAATAGTCAAATAAATCGGATCATGGTCATGTGTGTGTGTGTGTTCTGATGCCAGAAAATTCCTTTCAATTCTATCTTTTCCTATGATTCCGAATCATTTCCCTTTGTTGGTCGTCAATCGAATAAATCGATAAAACAAACAATTAATAGACAACTATTCCAGACATAATAGCTTTGTGAATTTGAATTTGAAAGATTTTCATCTATTATGATGGCCATAAACAAGAGAGAGAGAGAGAAAGGCAACCTGTGTTTGTTGTTATAACAAATAAATATTAGGAAACATCATCATCTTGAAAAAGTTGATTGCTTTTGTTGTAATCTCAGTCGGTAGGTCAAATAAAATGATGATGATGATGATGGCCTTTGATGGCCCATTTCTTTCATGTTGCTCTATTCATTCTTAGTCATAGATCTTGTTTCGCGCCAGGTTATTTTAATAGTGTGTCAGAGAAGGGGTATAAGTTTTGTGTGCATGTCCATGAAAAACTTGAACACACAAAACATGACTTGACTTTGCTCGCTTGAATGGGTTCACATTGTCTTACTTGTAGCCATCGTGATGATGTTGAATCAAAATATTGAATTTTTTCTACTTCAAATCAACATCATCATCATGACACTGATGACCGGATAAATTGAAAATGCAATCTTGGGTAGGTCTTGACTCTCTCTCTCTTTTAGTTGGCAGGTATAACCCGTTTTTTCCCAATTCTTGGTTTTTAAGGTCGTCCGTTGGTAAATTCGTTTCCTTGAATTTGATCAAATGAAAATCAATGGGCCAAAAGGAAGTTTTCCCTATCCTATCAATTAAGTATTCAATCAATCAATCAAAACATTTGATATTTCGATTAGATTCTATGAATCGATTTGATTATGTCATCATTATCATTATTGATGAAATCGATATCTATTCAATCGAAATTGATTGAGGTCGACTATTACCGTTGTGATTACGATTTGGCCATAAAAATCTGTGATATTATATATTAATATTAATTCAGGACTAATTTTTATTGACTGTAGTGTAGATTCAAAATGTCAACTTTTTCATCTGACCAACACCACTACTATTGATACAGTAGAAAGAAAGGTCATCAATTTCGTTGACAATATTGAATACAACACACTGTGACAATAGAATCATAGTCCCTGTTTCGAGGTCAAACCCTGATGGGTCATTTCGCTACTTCTGTGAAAAAAATCGTTTAGTTTAAAAACTAAAAAATTCCAACGGCGTGTGTGCTCGTGTGTCATACACACACACTACACAAACTACGCTACGGCCATATGGAATCAATACTGCCGGTTTTTTCTCGATAAGAAATGTTCGTATGAAGGGCAACAAAAATGTGTATGCTACACATACTGCAATCTTTGTATCTTTGTGATTGTCAACCGTTGATAGCTATGCTTGTCAATGCGTGTTTGGCTTGAAATTGGTCGTTTCTTCTCTGTTTGTTGTTTTCGTTATCGTCGTCATTTTCCAACTTGAGTTGATCGAAAATTTCCATTTTCTTGCATCCTTTTTTTGCATGAACGAATAACACTCAAAACCTGGACATGATTAACACTCGTCCATAATCAATAGACAATGACATGTAATGAATTTTTTTCCGGAAACTAATTTTCTATTGTCCGTTCGTCATCATCATCATCATCAATAACCCTGTTATATGACAAATGATAACAATAGAATCGACTCGGTATTGCACCGAATGACACACCCTTTATCTGGTTTTCTTGTTACATCAAGTCAAGGTGTGTGTATGGTATGTGTGTGTGTGACCAACGAACCGAGAAAAAAATCAACAATCAGAATAACAGCTGCACATCTCTTTTTAACATTTATGAATTACATTTGCATCGATCACACACAAAGTTGAATCATCATAATCCTGTGAGATGTTCGTGAATCTCAAATAATTTCATCATGATCAACGCCTTAAAATGGTCAAAATAATAAACACTTGATTCGTCCATAAACAGAATAGAACTTTTTTTGTTGTTGTTCATCTTACAGCACACACACAATAGCCAATTCTAGAAAAGGCAAAACATTTAGTATTTTGTGGCCACTGAGAATAAAAAAAAAAAATTAACCAACACGACCATCATCATCATTGCCATAACCATTATCATCAACGATCATCATCATCATACACCAGCATAGGAGACATCCTTTTTTCCTCTCTATCAATATGTATGTGTGGCTCAATTTCGATGATAATAATGATGTATGTGTGTGTGTATGTGTTTATACTGAGTGGCGCTCTCTCAATGTTTTCTCTCTTGTTCAATGTTTGTCCATGTGTTGTTTGTATATATGTTGGTTGGTTGGTTGGTTGGATATATTCAAAGTTAGTTGAGCTTAAGAAAAATTCAAGTCAGTTGGCAAAAAGTCGCCAAGCAAGCTTCTAGCTAGTTCTCGATATTTACTGACTAGATATTTTTTTCGTAATGTGTAAAACTATTTAGACAAACATCGTGATTTAGGCGCCAATCCAGTCTGGTTGGTCACTGTGTTTCGTATTTATGTATGTGTGTGTGTGTGCTTTAACCAATATCACATCGTAGTGGCAGTTGCCGAATCTGAAAAGAATTTTTTTCAGTCAATTCAACAAAAAATTATCAGCTGACAATTTTGTCATGATACCTATTCATCGTCATCATCATCATCATGATTAGAATTGTGGACTTGACCAAAAAAAATCGCGAACTTTTTCTCTTTTTCTTTGTGTGTGTGTGTGATTTCATGTTCATCGAGAATTTAGGTTCAGAAACGCGCATGTAAATCATGATGATGCGACAAACACTACATTCAAACGAATTGTGTTGCATACATCTACATCGTTCTTGAAAAGCGATCCAATTTGTTATTTTGGTCTAGTCCAGAATCGTGATGATGATGATGATGATTGTGTTGCACCAAAATCAACGATCCAAGTGAAATTCTTATTGTGAATTTCTTGATCACAATATGAATGACTCGCGATTCCAGAATCCAAACAGTGCTTGCGCCTAGCATGGAAAATTGTGTGCCCTTGTCTTGTTGTTCATGAATGTGCATATGAACTGAATGTTTTCGTTTGTTGTTGTATGCTGGTACCGGCTTCTTTGTTTTGGTGTTTGTTTTTTCCTCTCGAGTTTCTGTCTCAAATTTCCATCATTTTTTGCTGTTTAACATTCTGTGATTAGTCTCGATTTATTATGACAATCAACAACCTATCTAAATCTTGATCGTTTTGTCTGGTTGAATGATTCGTTCAATTTTTCCATTTATGTTATGTTTTGTTTTGCCATCAAAATCATTGTCAAATTCACACAAATGCACACATACACACAACCCATCAGCCTTACAAGTTTGTGTTCGTCATATCATCATCATTGATTCACTCATTCATCCGGAGGATTTAACGGTGTGACAAAATTTCAACATAATTCACAATACACATTTGTCATCATGATGAATGTAGAGGAAAATCATTTGATTTTGATGGCTGCTTGTTGATTTTTTTGTTTTCGTCATCACTCATCCATCTGATCATAATTACTGAAAGTTTTGTTTGTTTTGTTTTGTTTGATAAATTCATCATTCATCATCCATTTATCCATTTATTAATAATAATACGCTACAATTTAATGATTGATGATTGATTGCTCAATCAGAGACAACACCCACCATCATCATGTAAGTGGACTTTTTGTTGTTTGTAGGTGTAACGTTTGCATTTCATTAACACCTTATGATATGGTGATTTTTTGTTATTGTTATTTATGAATTACATTGTCCTCAATCCATTCTCTATTCGATTCGATTCGATTCGATTCGATCGTGTTCAATACATTTTTAACAATCATTGATCCATGATTGTTGATTGTGGATAAATACTACAAACATGGATAATGACATGTTTGAAACAATTTCATTTTGTTTCAACAAAACAACAAAGGTGATGTGTAATTATCAGCTGACCATTGTGAATGTATGAATTTGTCATTCTTAATGAATGATGGTGATGGTGGTGATGGCAATACGTACGTTTTCCATTGTCATCAATTGTTTGAATGGTTTTTTTTTGCTTCAGGTTAATTTTTTTCAAGCCAAAATTATGACGATGAACACGTGTTTATGATGATTATGAAAGCTTTATTCATTCATGGGGTGCTTAAAATGCTTGATTTGTATGTGAAAGTGAATTTGACAGTTGTAACAACTATGGGATAGAGATGTAAGTGTTGTTTGAGTTTGAATCCACAAAAAATGACTTTGGATCATCATCCACATCATTACAATCAAGGGATAATGATATGTTGGACAATCCATTTTCATTTCATGTCAATCATCATGTCGATGATTGTTTCGGGATAATTCTTTTTCCTACAAAGAAAGAGAAAGAAAAGTTTTTCGCACTTGGCATTGCTGCCGTTTGATGATTGTCGTTGCTGGACAATAAAATTCATTAAGGAAAATGATTTGTTAGCAAAAAAATCGATGAATGAATGCTCGATGATGATGATGATGATGACAGTCAGAATGTCAACCGATGAGCTTCTGTGCTGAAACTTATGGATAAATATAAAGGCCGGGCAATTTATTTCTTATTATCTGTGTTGGTGATCTAGTTTTCTTTTGAATTTTGAATTTTGAATTTTTCTCATTGTTCAAAAGCATTTCTTATTTATTGTTGTCGTTGTTGTTCATTTTATTCATATTTTCAAATATAAATTGTTTTGAATCTTTGACCT